AGAGAATAAGAAAATGTTCCGTTGTCCATTTATCTGACTATCCATCTTTATATCTTTACATATATTCATAGCAATAGCAATAAGAGCACATTGAAGGTATTAAATTGAAGGTTTTGGAAGTTGAGGAGGTATTGGTCAATGAGAATTGACTGCGGCGCAGTAACATTGAATAATGTAAGCTAGACAAACTGTTCTAATCATGACTTTACTTAAAACAAAGAACAAAGGGCAAGAATTGTGGAATTTACATGATATACTCATACCCATCAGCTATACAAACAGTCAATCTTTTAAAATTGTATGTAATTAATGAAATTCACTTCACTCCACATTGTTTTGTGCATGAAATTATCAGAATCAGAATAACTGATCATGTTGATGTGATATTGAAATGAACTTTAATGCCACACATCTAGAGAAATTTCAGTCAGAACGAGAGAATAGATTGTGATTGATGAAAATCTTTAGAGAAATGTTGTTCAGGTGATCAATTATTATGCTGGTACAGTTACTTCTTAGCGGGAAAATAATGAATTTTTGGCGCCAAATTTGATTTGATTTTGTTTATTTTCTTTAAATTGAGTTTAAATTGCACAGACCTTTTGACTATAGTCTACAACTTATGATATTTTAGCTCTAGAACATAGAATGTAAGCTATAAGGCATAAAACTTCATAAAAATATGAAAAAATTTACATAAGAATTTTAAAATTGCACTCAAAAATCCATTCCATGCACTCATTTTGATTCACCCCTTTTACTTTATAGCCCAAGCATAATAAATTATAATAAAAACATAAAATAAAGAACTATAAACATGTAAATACGTTGTTGCATATACGAAAAAAAAAGTATCCAGTGCAAATCAATAAAGTCCCATTTAACTATAAAGTACAAAAAATGACCTAGTTTGTTGCGTGTGAGACAGAACAGAACAGAAAGAATAAGAATAAGTAGAGGCGAAAGTGCTGTAGAAATTTACCACAACCCCTTCTTCCTGTGCCTTAATACCTCGGACTTATTCAAATACATGTTCTTCAATTAGATTTTATGAGTGCGATAAATGAAAATCTGCGGACGAGGGAAATATAGAGCACAAAACAAAAATTTGAACTTTAACGACAAAACGCTTCATGTAATTTTCCATATGCATGCAAATGGTGCTTAAATGACGGAAGAAGGGAATTAATTGCTAAATATTCATTTGGGTCTTTTGGACTTTCACTTTAAATATTATCGATTAATCGCTTCCCTGTAATTCTGCTGGATAGCTTTTATTTGCGCACGTATTAAATTTGTGTAAAATTTAATTTATATTGACATGTGAGTAATGAAAGGAAATAAATTACATGATTCGTTGCCATAATTTTCTTTACTGTAAATTATCAATGAGAAATTGATATCGATTTTATTGACTTGATTAGTTATTATTCGATGCGTTATTAATGGGATAAGATAAGAAGCTATTGATTACGATTAAACAAGTGATTGGATTTACTTTTTCGGAGTTTTAAGAGTTATTCAAATTGTTTAAGTCATCTATTCACGAAGTATTCAAACCAGGGTTGCAATACAGGAAACTGTGCACATGTGAGAACCGTACAATTCCTTTATAATTTGTGAGGTTTTATTATAATTTGGATGGTTTTAGTATAAAAACCTTATAAATTATCAAGGAATTGTAAGGTTCTTACCTGCACACATGTGCCTGAATCACAACCCTGAATTCAAACAAATCAAACTCAATTCACATCAGGTACTCTAATTGCTCTAAATACAATTAATTGATTCATAATATAACCATAATAAGTTAATATTAATATTATTTAATAATCATGACGCTAATAATTTGTGATGAACAGTGAAGTTAATGATAATCATTACGATTTTATCACGTTAAAATGATGTTACTCTGTTAATTCTAACGATAACGATAAAATCAAACATGTTCGACATACAACAGCGTGATAACTTCATTAAATATGATATGTTTATACAATTATTTCTCTGATGTCTGTTTTGTTAATGCTTTCTAAGTTATATCTTTTATAATATTTAAAATAATGTTGTTAAATGTATCCACCAATTTTCTTTACTGCCAAACATAACGGGTGTTCATTTCCTAGCATTGCAATTTTCAAAAATAACTTCAAAAATTCCAACCATAATTTCAGGTAATAATAATAATTTTAAGCAATTTTCAAGAGAAAAGAATGCGAACAAGAAGAAGAAAAATCGCATGACTAATTTTGGAACAGCCAGAAAAATAGAACATAAACAAAAATAAAAACACATGTGTGCGTTATTTAAATTAATTTTTATTATCACTCTTTATCTGGAAAATTAATATGAAGACTTCATAAAGTTTAAATAAAACATTTGTCCAAAGTTAAAACATCTGAAGATAAGCAAGATTGGCCGAGCGGTCTAAGGCGCCAGATTTAAGCTCTGGTTCCCTTCTGGGAGCGTGGGTTCGAACCCCACATCTTGCAGTTACTTTTTTGCTCCTTTTTTGATTCTTTTTTGAAAATTTCTTACTTTTATGCTTTCAAAATATTTTTTTCATGCTTCTCATAAATTTTTAAGCTTAAAAATCTAAGAACTTTTTTTTTCATATAGCAGATGCGAACGTTTGATTAATTTGGTGTCATTAAGGTTATTTCTCATATCGTTTTATTTTCATCACATTTGTAAGCTACTTTCATCATTCATAATAAACAGCAATACAGATATAATTGCAATTCAGTTCACAATAATATTCTCATTAATCTTGAATAAAAAAGAATGTTATTAAACATTAACTTCAATATATTCAAACTCTTTCATATTTTTAATACATTTAAAACCGCATGAAACTTTCATTGAAATTATCATTTTTTCCAAGAACAAGATAAATATTCAGCAATATTAAAAATAAATTGATAATCGTACAGCCGTTCAACTCTCACTATTCTCAGCTTTTCCCCTCAAGGCAAATACTTTTTTTCATCTTCTTATTTTTTATTCTCGTTCACATATACTTACATAGCTCGCTTCTTATCATTGATTAACATTTTTTCGTATTTATTTGTTTTATGTCGGTCACTGAACCTAACGTGCTCAATTGCCCAACTTTTATTTTCGCTCGCATGCTTTTCATGCGTAAATGGCATTTACATGCATATTATTAGGATATGAAAATATTTTAATTAATACGTCAATTTTTGTGGGTTTTTTGGCTTTACTTTGTTGGATTTTTGGGAGATTTATATCCGCATTTTGTCATTTAAGAGCACAAGATAAACAAAGGAAAAGCTAAAATAATAATAGCCGCTTTTAAATATTATTGAAGGTTCGAATCCTTAATTCTAAATATTGCATTTCACATAGTTTTTCTCAGGGTTCAAATTTAAAAAATTGAAATTTCATTTTATTTTATTTTGCTTACAGAAATTTTTCTGATTCACGTTTTTCAAATTATGGTAGCTACTTCAGGCAAGAAAAGCCCCAGACAAAATAAATCCTCAGATATATAAGTTCTTGAACTTTTTCACTTCACCTTCAGCTGAATGTCACCCATGTAAAAATGCATAAATTAATCTATTCCATTCGTAAAGCCTTTCCTGAAAATTTTTCATACTTTATGAGACGCTTTTCCTTTACGACGATGTTCTACAACGTAGAATTACAGTAAGATTTATTACTATCCGACTATATAATCGTCTCAACAGAAGGGGTTGAACATTATGTTCGGTCAATAGCACCTAACTCGCCAAAAAAAAAGAAATAAGTGCCTTTAAGTCATAAATAAATTAATAGCGTATATGCCGAAAATAAAAGACTTTAACACACTACTGGAATTAATAGATACCTCAAAGACCTGAGCGTATCGTGTTTAGAAACGATACCTTTTATGATCCATCATTATATGTGATGATATACGCAATCGTTAAAGGCCGTTGACCAAAAGGCGATTTATTTACTTTTTAAAAGCGCCGGGTAAATAGACTCAGTGGAGAGCTGATAGACTTAGAAGTGAAGTGATTAAAGCATATGATGAAGAGAAAAAAATAGAAATAAAAGAGGTTTGTTTTCCTCTTCATTCTTCATTCCAATCAAAGTAAATTAGAAAAGGCTAGACTGTGGATGGGCAGAGTACTCATTTTATTTATTGGTTATTGGATTGTAAGGTGGATTTTTTGGTTCTAAATGCTTTTGAAATACTTGGAGTTTGACTTTAGAGGGTGTTTTGCGAGATACAAAAGTTTCTACGTGTGCAGGTGCCTTCACACTATGGTTTTTGGGTTTAGCTGCCTTCACACTAGATTTTAGTATTTAAGTGCCTTTACAATAGAGTTTTGAGACTCGAGTGCCTTTACACTAGACTTTTATGGTTTGGATGCCTTCACACTAGAGTTTTTTAAGTTCAGGTGCCTTCACACTAGAGTTTTATCGTTCTGATGCCTTCACACTAGGTTTTAGTATGTAAGTGCCTTCACACTAGAGTTTAAACAATTTTAACTCATAACAATCTTAAACAATGCCCATCACTCATCTCATCTGATTCTTAATAAGAATAAAAGTAAAAAGTATAATTAGATATCTTGTATGCTGCATGCTGCTTTTGTCTGTTGCTCTTTTTCATTATTTGAAGGCCTTTTAAAAGGGTTTCAATTTATTCATTATTTCCATCTTTTTTCCTCGTTCACTTATTTTCTTATTTTGTTTCCCATTCATTCAATTAGTTTCTTCTACATCTTCTTATTGTTCCTGTATATTGAGGTTTAATCACATACTTTTTTTTGTATATACACAATACTATACTTTTCTTGCCGCAGTCAGGTATAATGATGATAATGATTATTGCGCCTTGCTTCCTTCTACACTCAGAAATCTAACGTCAATTCCACTAATGATGATTCCTCATCATCAGCCACGAAAATGCAATCTTGAGAATAAATATTTTTGATATCAGAATTTTTGACCAATTCTTAATAATTTTTATGCTATGTCAATTACAGGTGAAATCAGGCTCGTGAGGCCATTAGACGAAATATCAGCAATCACTCATATTGGTGATCCAGTTCTGTTGACAGTTGTTGCAGAAGAAGTAAAAGTGGCACGAAATGAACCACCAGCAATGGCAACGACCGTACAACTTGCTCTATTCCTACCCGAACGAAGTAATTCACCGCCATATTTTGAGAACGATCAGTAAGTTATCTAACATGTCTATATCTAATGTAACTTTAATTGTAACCTTTACTTTATACAGTTACGTGACGAGAATCGATGAGAATTCACCGGCTGGTACAACACTTGTCTTTCCTGAGCCATACATCACGCGAGTTAGTGATGATGATGCTGGAAAAAATGGAGTATTCTCATTGACATTACTGAATAATAATGGAACATTCGAAATATTTCCCAACGTTGCAGAGCGTAAAGCTAATTTCATTATTCGAGTTCGTGATAATAACATGCTTAATTTTGAGGAATATACGTCGTTGACATTTCAGGTGAGTATATGGGGTTTATTTATTTTTGTGAGGTTATGAGCGCAACTTTTGGAGGGAAAAAGATATTGAGGATTTTAAATTTTTTCAAAATATTTTCAAACCATTACATGAGTATCAACCCTTACATTCCCTGACTAAGTCCAAAATGAAGACATAACCTCACATAATGCCTCAACACAGCACTCAATTTAATTCTCATTTCGTGATTATCCATAGCAGATAAAATAATTTCTTAACCATGATTTACGTCCACAGATACTTGCGCAAGAACTTGGTCCAGCAACAAACCTTTCAGCGATCGTCAACGTAACGGTTTTCATTGTTGATGTCAATGACAATCCACCAAACTTCGAACAAGCAGAATATCGTGTTGAACTACCCGAAAATATGACTGCTGGCACTCGTGTCGTTCAAGTGCATGCAGATGATGTTGATACTGGAATGGGTGGACGTATACGATACACGCAAATTCTTGGCTATCTCAACACTTCACTCAATTTGGATGCCTCAAGTGGCATTATAACAGTCTCGACAAACAATCATGGATTTGATCGTGAAAAGATGCCTGAATATCATCTGTATGTGGAGGCTCGTGACGATGATGGAATTGGAAATCGTGCTGAGGTCAGTGATTTTACTTTATTTAGGAATTGGATTAAGAAATTATAGAAAATTGATGTCTGTAGTCGATAGTCGTGCTGTCAACACGACTATTGTATTTAACTTTAAGAAAATTATTTTGACCAATTGGATCCCACATAAATACTAACATTCTATCCAAAATTCATACAGGTACCGCTCATCATCCAATTAATTGATGTCAATGATGAAACTCCGCAATTTGAAAAGCCACTTTATGAATTTATTTTGACAAGTGACTTGAGGAATTTTACAATACCAGCATTCATAAAAGCAAACGATAATGATGCAGAGGAACCAAACAATGTTGTACGATATGAACTAATTCATGGAAATTATGAAAATAAATTTTTGCTGAATGAAGCGACCGGACAATTGACATTGCGTGATGCATTGACACAAAAGAAGCAAAAATCATCTGAAAATCTTGACGTTATTGTATTGACTGCGCGCGCCTTTGATTTGGGTGTTCCCGTCCGATATTCAACGACAACAATAAGAGTTTATCCACCTGAAAGTCGTACACGTGCGATTGCATTTCTTGTGCCTGGATATTCACATGATCGAGAGAAATTGGAAGAGACATTGTCAGATTTGACAGGTGGAAAGGTTATGATTCAGGATATTAAGAGATATCCACAGAGTGGCAGTGGAATCATTAAAGCTGGTGATGAGAAGAGCATCGTTACAGCTCGAGTCGTTTATGACAGCGAATCAGTTGTTGATGTAGCTGAGATACAAAAGAGATTAGTCCAAAATGACGATAGAGGAATTAGCATCCACGAAAATGCTGTAAGGCACAACTTCAACAAAGACTTTAAGAAATTTTATTTTAATTTCAATAATTTCTCACTTCCAGAATGTCTACCAAGCTGAAAATCGTGTCTACTTTTGGTTACTCATCATCCTCTCACTCCTCCTCGCTCTTGGCATTTTGACACTTTTATTGTGCTGTATCTGCTCATGGTGTCCACTTTATGCTGCCTCAAGGTAATTATAGTATGACGTGATGTTTTTTACATATTTTAAACTAACAACTGCTAATTTTCCGCTCGCAAAATAACAAAAACAAATGAATGAAATGAAGGCAGAAATGCTGTAAGGGAAGAGCTTTTAAAATGAGAAATTCAAATTGAGATTTTTATGGCTGAAGACACATTTTTTACAGTTTTGACGAATGTTTTGTTTTTTATAAGTAATGGAATTATATTGACTTTGTGGATTTGTAGAGTTAATGGCCTCATAATGAAAACTTTGGGACGTATGAGAAATTTCATAAATTCAAAAATTCAAAAATTCAAAAATTCAAAAATTCAAAAATTCAAAAATTCAAAAATTCAAAAATTCAAAAATTCAAAAATTCAAAAATTCAAAAATTCAAAAATTCAAAAATTCAATTCAAAAATTCAAAAATTCAAAAATTCAAAAATTCAAAAACTCAAAAACTCAAAAGTTCAAAAATTCAAAAATTCAAAAATTCAAAAATTCAAAAATTCAAAAATTCAAAAATTCAAAAATTCAAAAATTCAAAAATTCAAAAATTCAAAAATTCAAAAATTCAAAAACTCAAAAACTCAAAAGTTCAAAAATTCAAAAATTCAAAAATTCAAAAATTCAAAAGTTCAAAATCATTAAGTAGTCATAACTTCATAGCTACAAACTGACTCACATAGTTCATTGGAAATCTTGATTTTAACGACCATTTTGTGGGTTTTTAATTATATTCCTTATCATTGATTTTGGATCAAATAGATTTACGATCAAATCTTGAGCAAATCTGGTGACATAATTCAGTTTTGATATCCTGTATCATGCTGGAATTTGATGGCTATTAGTCATGTTGTGTAGTAAAATTATTAATAGCAATTTTCTGATATTGTTGATTGACTATAAAATTTGAAATTTAAATTACAATTTGATTTTGGAGATTTTTGGGTTTTGAACATGAGTCATGTGCAAAAATAAACATTATGTTAGGACTTTAAGTTAAGATTGAGATAGTCAATCGAATTATTAATGTCAATTTGTAGTAATCTCAATAAACAACCCAAAATCTCTTCTCATATTGAAAGCTCTTCCCTCAAAAAACTAACAAATATTTCATAAAACATTTTCTTGGTATGGTTCGTAGTTTCAAGCATGGGTGACAGATATTATTTATTATTTAATTCCTTCTTATTATTTCATGCTCGGTGGATTATTCCTATCTTTCAATCACATCTCCTTCCATTATTTTCTTTATAGTTCAAAAAAATAGTATTTCTTAGTTTAAACAAAATCTGTTTTAGTTGCTGAATGCCCTTAGATATTTTTTTTTTTAATTTTGGATGGAAAAGAATAAGAGAAAAAATGTTTTTATTTTTATATGCAAATTTTTCTTGTTTCTTCTATCTCATTGTAGAAAGAGATTTAGAGTGAATAGTGAAGATGATGTAAATCTTGTTCATAGAGAACAACCAATTGGAAAGCAAACAAAATCTGTTCAGGTACATATCAAATTTCTTTTTGTTTGTAATTTTTTTGTTTATGATATTTAATTGCAAATTTCTGTACATTTAGTTGCATCCATTCTGTCTATCTTTTATTCTATCACACATTTTTGTTTTTTGTTTTGTAATTTTTGAAGCTTTGCCATTTTTTTACTTTTTGTGACTTTTTTTTGTACTAAACTCTTTCTTTCTACTAATATCGTAATATTTATTCACAAACAATTTATAATTTTTTTGTTAATGTTTTTGGATATTTTGAGTTGAATTGATGACAATTTTTATACACTTATTGGGATTTGTTGCATGAACATTCACGAAATTTTGAAGATTTTTTCACAAACCTACCAGAAAATCACTTCGGCAAAAGAAATTAAACAATACTCTAAGAATCGTTAAAATTATTTTAAAAATTAATTAAGGTTTTTTAAAAAGTAATTCAGGAAGAAACTTTAAAAAATCATCAACAAATCACCAAAATATCCAAGCCTAAATGTCTTCAATCCTCAAATTAAACAACAAACCTAATCAAAATTGTCTCGAAATTCTCCTTCCAGGTCGCCGAGTGGATGGGACGAAGAGAAGCATGGTCAGCGGAGAGGTCGACAGATTCAAAGACGAAACCTACACGATGGGAGTTTAGTAAGAGAGGAGGATACGCTCACCAAAAATTAAATGGCATCGATAATCCAGCAGCGAATATTGACGATGAAAATGCAAATAATAATAAAATTAATATTAAAGACGAGCAACGTGAAACTATTAATATGATGTAAGTTAATCCATTAAATTCTGATCAGACTTGATTAATGACATCAATTAACTTTTTTTTTTTGATAGAAACGAAACTGAGACGACAACCAAAGAAACTTCACAGAAAAAATCGATAAAATTGGATAAAAATCACATTTATAATGAAGACATCGAGGACGACCAAGATTACACGAGCATTAAGCATGTAAATGTTAAAGATAATAATACACTTAATACACAAGCTATAATCGATGAGGACTCAATCCGACGACATGAAATGGAACGCGGTAGTGATATTGAATATGAACGACGAATGAGCTTTAAGCGGCAAACAGCACAAGAAGAAGCAAATATCAGTGGACGTGATCAATTATTTATCAAAGAAGGAAATGCTGAAATTCTTCGTCTCATAACGCGTGGTGGACAACAAGGAAGTACAGAAAATTTATACATTAATGTCCCACAGAGAGGATGTAACCAGCAGCCACAATATGTATTGGTCGAAAACAGTGGAAAGGAAATACTCATGAGAAGGTTTATTGAGGAACAAGCAAATGGCAAACAAATCATTCGTGAGCATTATCAAGTCATTCCAAATGCAACATTCATTCAAACACTACCGAATGAAGTCCAAGAACCAGTACAGATTGAAAAGCGTGATAATCAACAGCAACAATCACAAAAGGATATAAATCTAGTCGAATCTGATATGCAACATGCTGTATCAAATCAATCACTTGTCATTCAGCAGGAACTTGAGAATTCATTGAAGCAACAGAATGCACTGCTACGACAAATTTTATTAGAAAAAGAGAAGCTAGAAGAGAAATACAAGGAGCATGAAAATGCTCTTGAGACACAAAGTCTTCCATGTCATTCACTCACTGCAGCAGCACAGACACAAACAGACTGTGAAATTGCTGTCCAGACAGATCCATGGACTGAGATGAATGGATCTAAGTCATCACTTACCAGAAGACGTACAAGAAGTGAGAATGATGATTCAGCATCTGAAGACGATTTTGAGTATGTCCGTTACAGTCCTCCAAATAGCCCAAGTGGAATTTACTGGATTAAAAGGAGAAGACCAAGAAAGAAGAATGGACAAAAGTGTAGTAAAGATCAAGATCAGAGATTTGGAACTAGAAAAGTTGTGACTGTTGAGTCAGTCAAGAGAAAAATCCGGACACCAATTCAAGAAGAGACAGAAGACGGAAAAGTGAGAAGAACACCAATTGAGCATCGTGAAACTCGAGCATCAAACCTTCGACGTCAAAAAATAGCCAATGATCGTCACAGAATGCTTCAAGAGAAACTCCTTCATGACTTTCACGACTCACAAGATGAAGGAGAAATAATTCCAAATATTCGTACAAAATCACAGAAAAATATCAAATATTACATTGAGGACTCAGACGGTTCCGAGAATGAAGTAATTCTTCATAAAAATTACTATTCAGCCGACAGCCTTGACAACGACTATGAGCTTGAAGATCAAATTAATGATGATAATAAGCGTCGTATGACAGAAAGTGTACCACCAACGCCAGCCATTCGTCATACACGTCATTCGCATGAGAAAGAGTGTAAGACAAAACCATATAAATCATTTAAGATTGAATCAGAACCAGCACAATCAAAAGCTGCCATACAAAAGCAACAAATACAACAGCAACAAGAGCCACCAAAACGTCTATCAATGGAACGACAAAAGACATTCTCAAAGACAACTCATGATATGCCAGATACAAAAGGAGTGCCAAGATATATGGAATGGTATGCAAAAGGTAAGGAATGTGGAAAAGAGACAAAAGTTCCACCTGTAAAGGCAAAGAGAAAAAATCTCTCAAAATCAAATGAGAAACTTGATCTACGTCCCGAGCCACTGCCACGTAATACGCCATCAAAAGAAGCCGCACGTCTGTTAAAAGAGGATCTCGATATGGCAAGGAAAGTCGAATCGAGAATTCAACTTCCATCGGAGGCACTCAATCATCCGCTCCTTCAACATTCCGAGCATCGATTTGAACATGATTATCAACCCAATGTCCCTCAACCACCTGTTAAACTTCCACATTATTTATATCCAAATACACCGCCAACACTAAATGGTGATGGTCCAAAAGTTAGTATCAAATATAAGCCGAATTCATCACCAATAAAAGAAAATGAAGTTTCAAAGACGACAACTACAATAAAAATACCAATTGAACAAAATGGAGGTTCTAATCCTAATATTACTACAACAACCACAACCACAACGACAATGATGAATGCGACATTACAGCAAACGCAACAAAATCAACATGAAGATGATCATGATTCAGGAATTGCAATGAACTCATTATTACACGGAAAGAGAAATAAGATGGCAGATAAGAAGAGTGTCTTCACGATCGCATATGATGATGTGCAAATTAAAAGAATACAAATGAGTGAAAGCGATGAACCGCCATTGTCGTAAAATTAATTAACTTTGCTTGCTTTTAAGTAACTGATGAAATTCCGTACCTAGTTTAATTTTAGATTGTCTTCCATAAACTTTATTTTTTTTCTTTAAGTTTGTGATTTATTAAATAAGACAGGAAAAATTTGTTTGTATTAAAATGCCATAAAAAATATCTTATTGATGTAAAAATTGACAACGAAATATTGGAGAAACCTAATTAGAATTGACACTGTGATATTTAATCACAACTTAATGATTCTTCACACAAATCGATTCTCGACTGGTAAGTTGAATTGAATGAAAAGAGAACAAACGAAAAATGAAATAATCTGATTGGAACAGTTTGAATTCGGAATACAGCAGAGATATGTTTCCTTAATAGCAAAGCAAGTTGTTGGATGATTAAGGTTCGATCAATAATTTTTGATTTGACTACTAATTTTTAAAACAACTTTCCATGCAACGAGATATTCTGTTCTAATAGTTCAATTAAATAATATGAACAAAATATAAACAAATGAAGCCTTTGAAGCTTCAAATTTAATTTTGAACCATTGAAAAAATATTCTAAATCTTGCTCTGCCTTTTAACACTATTGCCATTTTAAGGTAGCCTAGTAATCAGAGACTTAGTAAGTTGGTTTGAAGCTAGTCTATATGAATTCAGCCTAGCTATAGATTGCTTCAAACTAGCTTCTGATTGCTAAGTATAATTTAAATGAGATGAAATAAAATTATTGCGCTTTAATATGTTACTGTAGTCTAAATATGTCATAAAAATAGTGAGGATGTCTTATTACACCTCAAATCCAAGAAATCGATCATCCTGTGAAGTTTACATGAATCAATCATTTTTAGTAGATTTTTCAAATCTTTATTGACAAATCAAGAGTGAAACTACTGCCCAACATTCATAAATAAGCTCTTGATTATTTTTAAAATCAAAGTTTCGTAATTGCTAAAGTAGTCCTTAAAGTTTTGTCCCATTAAGAAATTTCACGTACATTAAAAATGTTCCTTTGAATAAGCATACAAAATTGTTGGTTGTTCATATTTTTTGAGATAAATCAGAAGGTGTTGAATTTTTGGTGGGAAATTAATTTAGACAGGAAAATTGGCACCAAAAATTCAACATCTTCTGATTAACACTTATTTTAGATAAATTTTTAAAAACTAATCGCCTCATGAAAAAAAATGAGTAAATTTGTCATGTTGAAATATTCTAGTGAATCTTTTTACTTCTAATTGATGTAGAATTTTAACATATCTTAAGATTGAGATTAATTCAATTTGAATTTTATTATTTTCGTCCTGTCCCAGTGTATATACAATACTTAGATTATTAATCTTTATGAGATGTCTAGGATAAATTTTTAAAAATAATTTAATTCATTTAATGAATTTTTAAAGCAATAACATAAATTTTGTTTAATTTCAAATATTGTACATAGTAAATATTAAACCTAAGTACTTAATGTCATGAAATTGAGAAACTTAATTTCAATTAATGATTATTTGAAGATGCGATATATACAGTTAAAATTATAGCTTAAGATAAAAAAAATTATCATTGATACATGGAAAATTATATTCTATACATAAAAAAATAGATAAAAACAAGTTTTAAAAAGTATTATAGTCTGTAAATTCTTAAAATAAAAATGAATAAAATATAAAAACGTGATTAAAAATAAATAAATTTGTTGACTTTTCAATTTGATTAAGATTTTGCGTTACAGAAAAATTTCTGTTTTCAGCAAAAAATATCTATTCACATCAATTATGATTTAGAGGTGCGCTAGGGGATTTCGTAGCTAATGAGAGTTTAACGAGTGAGGATGCGCCAAACTACTGCACTCAAGCATAGCCTCATTCAAAAACTATTATCCAAAAAGTCAACAACACATAGCGTTCCCAAGCGGTCACCCATCTAAGTACCAACTATGCTCGACAATGCTTAACTTCGGTGATCGGACGAGAACCGGTGTATTCATCGTGATATGGCAGTTGACGAAAACCTCTGTGCTCCTTTTAGTTCTTAAATAATCAACATGCTTGACAATCTATCTCACAATAACTATGAATCATTCTAATCGTCCTTCAAACATTCCTAATTACGACCCTGCTGCATCAATAATCATAACACCGATCAATAAATATTTTCACACGATAAGCGTAATAAAGCTTCTGTTAAATCATTAAATTAAGTTGCCATCAATGACTTTTTGATTTTAAATCAACAACAACAATGAATAAATAGTTCAGCGTTGAAACTTTTCAGCTCAAATATAGATTAAAAATGAGAGTGTTCACATTAATAACAGCATCTGCATTATTAGTTCCAATATTTTTACCTTTTGGAAGTGCTGTGATGAGGTTCGTGCTTGATGAAGAAATAACAAATTGTGGAAATGAGGATTGGATGGTTGATCTTACGAATTTTAAGCTTATCATAGTCAACGACACAACAACAGTAGCTAATGGAACTTGCATTCTTTTAACCGCTGTAAACACTCCATGGAAGCTTAATTTTTATGGAGAACAGTATGAACGTGGACATTGGATGAAAAAATTCGAAAGGAATTTCCAAGATTTTTGTAAAAATATTTTAAAGCCGGGCGAACTGTAACTTTAAAATTTTGGAAATTGAAAAAATTTAATTTCTTATTAAACTTAATTACAGTTGGTATGATCCATTCAACAAGAAGTTAAAAGGAAAGCAATGTCCATACAATAAAAATCAAATATTTCCTGCTGACGAGGACACTGTGTATTTTGATGTAAGCTATATGCCTCCAACATTTCAAGGACGATGGAGATTTACGATAGATGGTGATCTTGGTTGTTTTCGAGTTCGATTTGATTTTGTGGATTTTTAATAGCTCTTGATGTTTGAAATTGGAACGATTTTACTTTTGGCTCAAATAAATTGAAATATTTGATGTTAAAATAAAGACTCTAAGCTCTAAAGCTATCTTATAAACTCATTTATCTTTAGAACATAAGTTCACACTTCTTTGATGTAAGCTTCATGATTCCTAGTTTCGAAGACAGATCAAGATTTCCTATCGAAAGACTATTAAGTTGTTATCGAGTCAATTTTGATTTTGTGAATTTGTAATTTACACTTGATCTAAACTTAATGGGTCTGTATAAATTAATAAACACATATTACACTATGAAATCATTAATTAAGTTTATGGATTGATAATAAAACCTCGAAAAAAAGGAAACAAAACAATCAAAAGAGCTAATTAAGATACTCATAGAATGTAAATGAACCATGTGCAAACATAGTTCACTTAATGACAATTTTTCCTAAATAATTCATTACTTCCAATGCAGTCAACAAACAATTGTTTTAATAAATGAAATTTGTCAGTCTTAAACAGAGCTAAGTGAAAAATGGTGGAATTTATTTCAAAATTAACAAAATTCAGCACCAAATTATTACAGTTCCATTACCAAATCAACGGAATCTGTCCATTAGCATTTGATGAGAATTTTCGTCCACAAGAAAGTCGCCGATTAAGAAGATATTCAATTTTTCTCGTCATTTATCTCACATCATTCATATTAAGTCTGTATTATGAGAAAGAACATTTTATAAATAATGAGAAAAGCAATGTCGGTGAGACAGTTGACTTTATTCAATTAGTCAGCATGCGGATGTCATCAATCATTATAGTTCTGGAAGCTTTCATCCAAAGAGAACATTTAATGAATTATTTCAACAATTTACATGATGTTGACAATATTATGAGTGATATTAATGTGAAAATGAATTTTAAAATGGAACAATTTAAAGATCTGGTCAAAATTATCATTGCCATAACCTTTTGTATTGGATCAGAATCAATGGTTGTGTTAATGTACAAATTAAGGTTTAAACTTGAAACATTTCTGTACTGGATCTCTTATACTCCATTCTACATACACTGTTGTATGCGTTACTTCCAACTTATGCAATTCATTATGATTATCAAGCGTAGAATCGACATTGTGAATGAAAAATTGAGTGAAATTGATATTTATCGGCCGAGCAACTACGACACATTAGATGATTTAAGGAGAATTTGCTACAAACTTTTTATCATGTCACATTCAATTAATCGAGCATTTGGATTGTCAACACTTGTCAATATCACAAATGATTTCATAACTGTAACTTTAAACAGCTACTTTATGTTTGTTGCATTTCAAAAGTTTACATACAAAAGTAAAATTAAAGCTGTCGAAAGTATTTTCTGGAGTTTACCGCACTGCATCAATATAATCGTTCTATCAACATGCTGTCAACTTACAGTCCTTAGCACTAGAAAAATTGGCATGCTGCTACACAGAATAAAATTTAATTATTCAAATGGAAATCAAAGCATGTTTATGAGTCATTTTAGTATACAGCTTCTGCATCAGAAAATTAAATTTAATGCTTTTGGATTCTTTACGATTGATTTTTCACTTTTGTATGCGATTGCTGCCACTGTGACTACTTATTTGGTGATTTTGATTCAATTTTATTTGAACGAGAAAAGTAAAGGAACGGAGACTAACTTCAATGCTTAATTCGTGTGTATATCAAGTTTAAAAGCTACAAAGTTTGACACTGGACATTGAATTTGCACATTTGCTGTAATAATAGATAATTACTCTAGTCTATCTTTATCAATGTTCTCTTTATTATAATAATCTTTGTAATTTTTGATCTCACAAATCAATAATTTTTAAAGGCACATTTTTGGGGATTTTATCAAAATTAACATTTTTTTAAACTTATAAAATAATTTTTGTCTTTTTAAATGGCAAAAATGAACAATTTTGCTAGTAAATAAAATTAATCTTGAGACTCACTACAATCTTTTAAAGTTTTTGAGACTAAGCAAAGTTGGAACACTCGAGGGTTTAGGGGTCAATAGAAAATAAATTCATTTTTTAATTTTAGAAACTTTAAAAAAATGCTCAAAATTCTTAAATATAATTGAAGTCAAAAAATTCAAATTTAACTTCATTAGTCCATAAAAGCTCACTCACAATTAAAAAAATATGGCAGTACTTAAAATAATCTTCATCATCATAATTCACTTCCATCATGTCCATGTTGTGCATGATGCATAATGTTTTCTTTCATATTCTTCAATGATTTGTCAGCCAGTAAGTCAACCTCAATTTGCTTTGAGTCTTCAGTATCAGATATGTATCCTTCCTCTCCAGTATAATGAGTTGGATATAGAATCAGTGGTTGTACACTCCATGCAACAACATTTCGATTCTCATAATTGAATTTCCATGTATCATTTGGATGTTGATCGAACATAATTGGAAGGAACTCATCGACAGGAAGAAGTCTTTTGAGAGGTTCAGCAGCTAATAGCTTCTTTGCTCCTTCAAGTGTGATTGCATAGGCAAGTGTCCAGTACGTATATGAAACTTTCACAAAATTTGTGCTTTGATCGATGTATTGCTCATTATCATCAAGCCTTTTACGTCCAAAATAGATCAAATCATATCCACCGATTCGTCGAGCTTCTTCCATCATTTGAATGGCATGTTCCCTAAAGTATGGCTCAAACTTGATGTCATCCTCGAGTATCAAAACTTCCTGTAGATTATTTTCGACCATTTTTTGCCATATCATGTAATGACTAAGGAAGCAACCAATCTCACCCAATTTCATAGGTCTCTTATGATATGGATCTTCATATTCAGGCATTAGAATAATTCCTTTAGCTGCTATTTCTTCATCTGTCAGCTTTTTCCCATCAACAGCTTCAAAATGTGTGTACTCAATTCCCAATTCCTTTAATGTTAAATCCATTTTCAACTTTCGTTCTGGTCGTCGCTTAAGATTAATCATGAATATTTCTGAGAATGTTAATCTAGTCATTGGTGGATATTTGACATAAGTTTTCAGCTCTGGAAGCACTCGAATCTCATCATATCGATGAACAATCGCCACTTTTGTATTCATTATCTGCTCGTAGTCTTTCTCAAGAAGATCATCTTGATCTAATGGCACAAGGATATATCCATAAAACTTCGTATTTGATATCACCATCTCCGTTCGTGAATATTTTGCTGAGATTGCAAAAATAATAATATCATCGATTGGTCCATCGAAAAATTTATCACTATAAAAATTATTGAGGTTCGTTGCATTAAATGTAAGAAAATCGCTTCTAGTTCTTTTGAGATCAATAAGTACAGCACTGTGTACCATTGGTACGATATGTTCACCAACTAGTTCATGATTGCGAATTTTCTTATAGTCGTCTGTTCGACGGTAGTAGTAGTCTGATGACATTCCACACCTTTAAGAGACAATCAAATTGGAAAGAATAAACAATTCTTATTGGAAAGTAAGTCAAAAATAATTCAAAACAAAATATACAATTTCAGTTCAATCTAGAAAGATCTCCATAGAAACTGATAAGAAAACTACAAACAGCCACTTCCGGAAATTTATTATCAAGCAATAGCAAACAAACAAAATCTCACCAGAAATTCGAATACAATCCCTCAGACACCAGCATTGGAGCAACTACAGCTTTATTTAAACTAATCAGTACATCAAGTGTATCATCCGTTGTTAAAAGTGCATCTGCATCTAAAAACTACACGAAAACATATGTTAAGCATTTCCACATCTGTTCCTGACAATAAAATAAATCTTACGAAAACATAGTCAGCCCATGATTGTCTTGCGTATTCTAATGCATTTTCTTTTAATTTAATGAGGTCTTTAAACCTCTCATCCGGCCAATGGGTCACGTTTGTTTCACCTTTTCGGAGCTTTTTACTCTCATCATATTGATAATGAATTGAGTGATATAAACTTTGAACTTTCGTAAGCCACACTTCAAGAATTTCACGACTATTGTCAATATTGTGATCTGTCACAAAATATAATGATATTCTATCTTTTGGATATTTTTGTTCTTCTAAATATGTCAAAAATAATGGTAAAGTGTGTGCTTTATTTCTAACTAATGTGACTATCATAACACTGGGCTTTTTGTACAATTGATTGTTATCACTAATTATATCTTTGGGAATGATGATTTCATCTTGTTGTTCATCATTTGTGTTGTCACTAGTTGTTGAGTATTTAAAGAGAAATATTAAAAATAAGACTATAAAAATCTTTACACATTCCATGTTTATAAAAAAATGTGTATAAAGAAATTATTGTGTTTATAGCTATCGGAAGTTGAATTGTGCTATGTTGCCAGATTTTACTCGTGTTTACGTTTGACGGGACATTTTTTGGAGAGTGTAGAGATCACCCAATGTGTGACATTGTCCAAAGGAATGCTTTTTGACAGGTGAATTTATGAGGGATATTTGAATCGCATGCTGTTGAAACAATGTTTTTGATATTAATTATTTTTATTATTCCAGCAAGATTTGTGAAATTTTAGATATTCATTTTTTTTTTTTGGTATCTCAGCAAGCTTTGTGAAATTTCAGACTATGTTTTAAAGGATTTAGATTAAAACTAATGAATTCGACAAAACCAGGTAAGGCAAACATAGAGTCAACAAATTTTAATCATTTAAAACCTTAGGAAAGCTGCCAATCATTGCTTTCTTAACCAAGAACTTATTATAGACTCGATTTTCAATCAAAACTAATCTAGCTTATATTTGAGAAAGATTTAATAAGTTGTATAAAATATAACTTTAGTTATATGACAAAAAAATTGAAACTAAGAATTATAATCTTAATTTAACGATTTGCTAGGCTTGAACATTGGAAAATCTAGTTAAAAATCTCAATCATGATTAAAGGTTTAATTTTCAATGAGAGTTTAAATGTTCATATTCTAGTTTTGTTTTTAATTTCAGTTGAATGATTTTTGAATTTGAAATTTTTGGGTAATGTAAGAAGACATCTCATTTTGGCAGGAAATTTTTGAATTTTTTAATCAAAGTAAAACACAAATTTTTTAATATTTCGCCCGATGAATCATTCTGGATATCTTATCATCTAATCAATTTTTATCAACATTTTCACTTAATTATCTAAACTTAATTGACAATCTATCATTCACAATTTACACCATCACCAAAATTCATAGCTACAAACACACTGTAAGCTCGAACTTATGTTGATTTTTCATTCTCTCTCAAGTGCTCGTCTCTTTTTGTTGTTAAGAGTCATAGTTCTTCGTATTTTTTAAAAAAAGATAGAAATTACCTATAAATAACTTGAAATCATGTCAAGTGAGGACACGGTGGATAACAAGAAAGTCTCTTTTGTCATAGATTCAGATGAAGACTTGAGGTATAAAGTCGCAAAATTCTTTAATTTTTTAAAACGAAAAAAAATAGTTCATCACGTATTAAAAACAAAAAAAAAAGAGGAGAAAAAAAATAAATTACGATAATTGAGGGATATTTATAAAGGTCTAAGTGTCACGAATGGAACCAAAAATCATTTGTTTTGATTTAAACGCGGGAAAATACCGGGTTTGTTACTATTTCTTAAGATAGTCTTTATTTTGATTTATAAAAAAGACGAACCATTTCTCAAGTGCGATTCACCAAAAAAAAGAATATGCATTACCGATCTCTTATCAGCTGTTTGTCACTCATCTATTTTTCATGTATTAGACATTCGCTTCATATTATTTGTCACTGTATGCGACCTGTAAAGTGAGATTCTTAGACCTTTTCTATAATATTTTTTTTACCTTACACAACAAATTTTTGTTTAATACACAAAAAGAAATCACGAAGACATTTTTACGGAAAGAAAAAAAAATTTATTCAGTCTCTCCTCATTCACTGTGAATCGTTGAAGTGTAAAGTTGAAGCTTATGAAACATTTTAATACGCATTGTAAAACAATAATAATATTCAAAATAAAAAAAATAATTAATTTTTACGTCTCATCATTCTTCATACGCGTGGAACTTTAATCGTCATACGCGATATCAAATATGATCAAGCCATAAAAAAAGATTTTTCATCGTGACGTGCCAAAAAAATACTTTTTAGTGCTAATCTTGTGAATTTTGATATTATAGAGACTTAAGTCCAACTCAAGAGGAAGAAGAAGACGACGACGAACAAGCTGATGAAGATTTTGAACATCTTCCGGAATTAATTGATATCTATAGCTCCACACCACCACGTACGCGGATAAAACTTAAAAATCGTATTCGAGAAAATAAGTTCAAAATGTAAGTAAAAGACACACGTTCAGTGAGAGGAGAAAAAGTTATCAAAAAAAAAAAATCGCATATTATATACTTATAGTCGTAGATAAGATAGTTTCCAATGTTTTTTTTTCTGCGCGCTGCCTTATCAATGAATTTTATTTAAGTGTGCGGTGTTTTCAATAAAGTGGTGCAATGTTATGTTCATTTTGACTGAGTTGTGGATTAATTTCTCGAATGGCTGTTTTGACTGCAGTAATTTGATATTGTGGATTAACAAAATATTGATTTGAATAATCTTCAGATGACGCAAATGCAGAGTTGATATCTATGATATTTCTGAGTGCAGATAATAAAGTATTTGTATCCGTGACTTTATCTTTGTCTTAGTAACAGCTGTGAAAGAGCTTTAATACTCAATCATAGATATCTGTTGCAATCTAGATTGTAAATTTGCAGAACCTAGTAATTCTAATTTCTGTTTGAGAAGCACTGTCTTAGGATATAAAAAACAACTGACAGCTAGTCAACAACCCTGTCAAAAAGCAACAAAATCAATAAATGTCAAGAAGCTTCTTTTTGTAAGCTTTATTGTCAAAATTGATGATGCATTTGTTGACATTAAACAACTTTTAATTCTCAGATGTTAAAAATCAATATCGGATTAAATTCAAATGATTGTCAATCGATGATTTTGATTTTAAAAATCTCAATTTAATCAAGAAACTAATTTTCAAGCTTGAAAGAAAGCGATATTGATTTAATTATTTATTTAAATCCATTGAATTTTCCCATAAAATACAAATTTTCAATAATACATTCATGTGACATTATTTCATTTTACTTTGATTGTTTTAAAGAATTATTTTGAAAATTATATTTTTTGAAAGATTTATTTCAAAATTTAAATGATAAAAAATGATGAAATTTAGATTCAGAATAGTTGAAGTATATTCTCATGTTTTGATTTCAGTTGTTTACTGAAAAAATTTACATTGAATGTGAAGTTTCACTAGCCACAATTTCTACAATAATCTTCAAGTTATTGATGGTTAAAAATCTGAATTAAGATTTTTTATTTTAAACTATTGAAGGTTTCCTTTAGCTAATGGAAAAGAGTTTGACCGAACTTAACTCTTTTAGACATACTCTTGATCATGTATCATACAAATATCAATAGAATTTTCAACATTTATATCAGCTGATCATAAAAAAAAAACATTTAATCTACTAGTCCAATGATTATTTTCCAACAAAATAAGAAAAAATCTCTTTTGGCACCATTACAATCATCCTAATGAACTCTAAACACCAACACAAAATCTTATTTTAAAGTTCATCATGTGAACTTCCCACAAATTTAAATAACCGCCACGTGTTGTTAAGAGAATATTCATCTGAAGAGATAAACCACATAATTATTGAATGAAAAGCCTCTTAATATGTCAGTTAGTACTTTCATCTCTACATGAATTATTTTGAGGAAAAACTCATTCAGAAATTTGAGATTTATTGATTGTTTACTGTGAAACATACGGAGTACATATAAGTATGAAGCTAAACAACAATGGTATTAATAATTTTAGTTAAATTGATACAGTTCAATAAATTTATATGCACATTTATTCAAAGTGACTTAAGTCATAAGTCATCATAATGATGAAACTCTATTTAGATCATTTTTGTCACCTCATTAATTTAATTTTTAAAGTTTTAAAATAATAGCTAGAAAGCTGAAGAATTAACTTAGCATATATTAGTAAATGTAAATAATCAATCAAAAGTGACGTTGATATTCTGATTCAACATTGTCAGCTTACAATGAAATAATCAAAGTTCGTACCTCATTTAATTATTTTGATAAAAGTAGCCTGACTCAGTCGATAATGTCTTAGATAAAGCAAAGATACTTAATTCGTTAAAAAAATCCGATAAGCTCATTGACATTGAAATGATTTTGACTCATCAGCATTCTCTAAAAATGTTTTTATTTCTGACCTCTTTAAAGATAAAGATAAGAAACGAGAATCAAGGAAGTACGCGTTATCCATCAACATTTCTGATAACTTTTTAACTCAAATTCAACAGAAAAACATTTTCTTTTTCTGCTGTGAAGCATTCAGTGTGTGCAAACTTTTTAATTTTTATACTTTTTATTTTCATTTTAAATTTTCATAGAGAAACAATCAGCAACATAAAAATGCGGACTGGAAGACTAGCAAGGTCGCGTGCCGACCGTAGAAATACTTTAGATTGTGCAATATTAAATCAGATGATTATTGAGCCGAGTATAGATGAAAAGGCAAGAACAGACAAGAGAATTATACAGCAACAGAGAGAATATGAAAGAGAACAAAAAATGGCTGGAAATCACCACCAGCGTATTTCTCAAAGAATCTCATTGAATTCTGAGGAATATGTCAGTACAAATGAGCCAGTCATCCCATCAGCAAATACAACCGAGCCAAAATGTATAGAATCATCGAGCCGCTTCATGAGCGTGCGTTCACGCCCAGCTGGATCTCGAATATCAGCACCAGCATCAGCATTCGCCAATCTAACATTTCCAAAAATATGCACCATGTCACCAAACGATGGTCCACAAAAGCAACGACGAGACTTCCACGAGACATTCTCAAATCTAATCAAATTAGGTTCAAATGATAAGCAAGAAAAGAATACAAGAAGTGTGATAATCTCAAAAGAGGAACAAGTATGGCAAACAGAAGTGAAGGACTTGATATGGTTGGAGCTACAGGCAAACATGGCTGATAGAACGCTCGAGCAGCAAGACAAATATCTTTTTACAGCACGTCAAAATGTCGGCGAATTATTACGTGAAATAATGAATTATCGTTTTTTGAGAAAATATAATCGTACAGATAGCGGAATATCGTCTCTAGCAAGCACAAATGAGTCGATTATAAGTAAGTATCGCTTGTTTTTCCTCTTTATTATCCACATGACAAATGTATTACGACACAATTATTATTTTTCTTTAAGATTCAACAACGGGATTTTGTTTTGGATGCCTGTCAATGTACTGTAAGGACTGTCTCGATGCACAAAGTAGTGCACTAAGGCAAGTTGAAAGTCTTTTGGCGAGACTCGAGGCAGCTGAGAATTTATTTCCATCAAATAAAGCATTCGGATCACATTTTCCACTTTACAAATCCGAGGAATTTGTGAATCGTGTCAAGTGTATGTGTTTGTGGTACAACATGACAAGACATCATCGATTAAAGTTGATAATATTGGGGAAATTGCTGGCAAAATTACAAGGAAAAGAATATAAATGGCCATTGGTTGAGTCTGACAGCAGTAGCGGTGCATCATCAGTACAAGATGCTGAATTGGAAAGTGGTTTAGATTCAACACGTGGAACTAATGACAGTACAAAAATGGTTGATAAAGTTACAACAAAAGTTCACTTTCTTGGACTTGATGAAAATGAACCATCAAGTACTACAGACAGTGCAAATAGTGAGGAAGAACTTAAAAATGGAGATAGTGGCTATTATCATCCAATTAATGATTATGGAAGGATGCTTAGTTCATTGAATCCTTGGAAAGGATCAGTCGAGGATGTCGTCAATACAAAATTTCCATCATCACCATACAGAAAGTTCATTGAGAATGTCCTGAAGTCTAGAGGATTAGGAAAGTCTTTAGTCTTCCTACATCGACTCCATAATGTTGTTCTTAGAAAAGCTCACATAACTTTAGAAAAACCAGGAACAGAAGATCAAGAGGAAATGTTTGACGATGAGGATATTCCAAATATTGAGCCACGAATGGAGGAAGAAGAAGCAGCTGAACTTAGACGATATGGCGTCTGGAGTGTAGAATTTAAACAACTAGCACTGCCACCGTACATCTCAGCCTTTCTATTTTTATCACTCATACCTTTAGAAGTGGTTCAAGAATTTTTAAAAATGAAATTAGAAACAAAACCATTTCAGCCAAATCCATTAAGCTTAGAACAACTAATAAAGGAACTTAAGGAGGGCATTACACTAGCACTTATCCACCGTGATCGTTTTCATAAACATATTACATCAGCCCTTATCGATCGTGATAGTGATTTAGAAGTTTATATGCACATCATAGACGAATTTGATGTATCATTAAAGAAAATCTTTGAATTATATTTAGAGTATGTCACTCAATGGATATTGACGGGTGTTCCTGAATCACTCAGGAAGTCAGCACTTGAGACTGAGTGGAGATTCACTAAGCTTGTTTGTCCAATGATTCATGACGAGCACTCGGTAGCAGCGAAGAAATTCTGTTCGATAATTGAGTGCTTATTAGATGAAATTGGAAATCGATTAACGATGAAAGCCGATGAACTTGAGAAGATGAGTTTCGAGGAATCGACAAAAGGTGCGAAAAATGATGAAAATATGGTTAATGGTGATGGAAATACTAACTGTAATAATCATGTTGATGGTGAGGAAGAAGATGATCCATCGACAATATTCAAAAATAAATTATTGGCTATGTGTCGAGAGATTCAACAGCTGTTCACAGACGAACGTGAAAAGTGCATGAAACTTATGCTGTTTACAAAGAGTTTCCTTAAAGACATTGAAAAAGACGACTTTCATCGTGAACACAATTGTGCAAGTGACAGTACTGTCTGTCTTCGACATAGTACAAGTATGTGTACGGAAGTATTGGAAGCTATTAATGGACTTAAATCAAAGACACTTGAATTAAGAGAAAAACTAACAATAACATTACAAAGAGTACAGCATAGAAGTGATGTCAAGCATCTATTTGACATGGATGAGATTGATAGACAAACAGTCCTAACAAGATGCAAGGAGATCCTTCATGTTGGATACAAATTCGGTTTCGAGTATCACAAAGACTTATCAAAACTTTTCGACACTGTCTCATCGCCAACAAGAAATTCTAAAGTTGAACTTGGACTTGCCAAAGCGATCGTTGGATTTGCAAAGTGCTGGATGAATTTTGTAATGGAACGATGTGAACGAGGTAGAGGATTAAGACCAAGATGGGCTGCCACAGGACTAGATTTTTTAATAATAGCTTGTGATCCAAACAACACAGAACAAATTGACGATAAAGACTTTGACGAACTGAAAAGTTCAATGGATCGTTGTATATCGCATGTCATTGGAAGCATCCATGAACCAGAACGTGTAAGAAAATCTCCACGATCAAGAAAATCATCGCCAGCACCAACCAGAAAACGTACACCGACACGATCATCAATTTCATATACGCCAACAGCACAAAAAATCCTGCAGCAACAAATGAGCTTACAAATTGAAAAAAGTCGATTGTCACCTAGTCCAGATCCAGATATCATGCGTAAACAGACCTCATACGAAAATGTGACTGAAATTAGTATTAAAGTACCAGCCAGCATCAATTCCACCCCAGAACTTCGACAAGTTCGTATACGCGATGCTGTCAATCGACTTGATCTTAATATAGAGAAGAATTTACGAGATAAAAACTTGATAGGTTATGTAAAGGAACTGAATGCATGTGATAAGGTTGTGATTCGTGCCCGTAGTGTCAATTTTAGTTGGCATCGTGGCATTAAAATTGGACAGGGTAGATTCGGTAAAGTTTACACAGCCGTTAACAATTCAACAGGTGAATTAATGGCAATGAAAGAGATTCCAATTCAAGCCGGTGAAACTGGAACAATTAAAAAAGTAGCAGAGGAACTTAAAATATTTGAAGGAATAAGTCACAAACACTTGGTGAAATACTACGGTGTTGAAATTCATCGGGTAAGTTCCAAGTTTTGTTATTACTTTTTGTTTGTTGTTTACATCTGTTTTTGTCGCTGAGAGCGGGAAGTTTTCGATAAGATAGTATGAGATTTGATTCATGCTTAATATTTGTTATTTAATACTTCTTATGACTTTATAAATTGTGCGAAAAGATTGTGCGAACTTCACATAATTTGTATAAGCGCGTTATCAACAAATTTGCATGAATAATTTGATTTGTAGCTGTCGCAAATGACACACATAGTAGATTGAAAGTACAAATGTGACAAATTGTGTGGATAGACTTCCACGCTTACATTTTATTGAACAGATTCAACCTTATTATTAATTCCTTTTGTAACAACAGGAAGATCTTCTCATTTTCATGGAGCTCTGCGCTGAAGGCTCATTAGAATCACTTTGTGAGATTTCCGGAGGATTGCATGAAGCACTTACGCGACGCTATACTACACAGCTTCTTCTTGCGGTTGAAGAGCTTCATAAAAATGGCATTTGTCATCGAGACATTAAATGCGCTAATATCTTTTTAACAAATGAAGGCCATTGCTTGAAATTAGGAGGTAAATGAACTCAAAAATAAATATTTAAAGAACTAGCTTTTAAATGACATTTATGATATAGATTTTGGATCAGCAATCAAAATTCAACATCAAGCAACAATGCCAGGAGAATTAAAAGGCTATGTTGGTACACAAAGCTACATGGCGCCAGAAGTTTTTACCAAAAATAATACGGAAGGTCATGGTAGAGCAGCTGATATTTGGTCAGTTGGATGTTGTGTTATTGAAATGGCTTCTGGAAAGGTAATTTATACGGCTGTAAATAAGTTTTTATATTTATTTAATTCTTAATCCATCTTCTCACAGCGTCCATGGAGTCAATTCGAGAGCAACTTCCAAATCATGTTCAAAGTTGGCATGGGTGAACTTCCTGAAATTCCATCAACATTATCAGAAGAAGGAATTGATTTCGTTGAATGTTGCTTAATTCATGATCCCAAGGATCGATGGACTGCGACTGAATTATTGCAACATTCAAACTTTTGTAAGGTGAGATGGAATTTGAATTTAAATTTTTATGTCGCTAGAAAACTGAGTCCCGGTATGGGAATCGCCATTCATATTATTGACTCTCGATTTCCATAAACTTGACAAATTTGTCTTCTTGATTGTTTGCATTTGTGATTTAAATAATTGTAATGCTCTTTTGAAAAAATCTTGACTTTGAAATTGCATTCGGAAAGAATGTATACCAACAATGTATAAACTGACATATACCAAGACAGTTACAAGTGAACACAATTGTAAACTTTCTAAACCAAAAAGCCGGTTGTCGTTTGCTTAGTTAATATGTTTATAGTAATGATGATTTCATTGCCATTTTTGTTTATGTTTTTTTTATTAGGTACATAAAGTCTGACAAACTGTGTGCAATTACTTATTTTTAAGATGTGGTTTAATTTTCTGATTTTTTTAAGATAGAACAGATTAGAACTTCCAAAGTAGGGTTTCATATTAGTTGAATATAGTTGAAAATTGAATAAATAGCTAATCATACCCTGAAGTTGTAATAATGAGTTGTCAAATTGAAAGTTTTGTTCTTATTTTAAAGATAAATGTTAACAACTCAATAAAAAAGATTCTTTAGGATTGTTATTATCCTTTTGACTTACAAATAGATAAATAATCCAGCAAAAGAATGTCATTATTTTAACATTTCAAGAATGTTGATCACTAACTTTAAAAACCGGATTAGAGAAGAAGAAAATTGATTAAAGAAATGTCAAACACTTGAAAAATCAAAATATATTTTAGATAAAAATCTAATCAACATTCAGACAGAAGTTGCAAAAAGACAACGAAAAAGAAAATAAATTAAGAATAAATTATCTTTTTACCAAAAATTTGAATCTTTATGAATGAATACAAAATTGTAACTTTTTCAATCCTTAATAAACTTAATTTTTTTTCTTTTCAACAGATTTCATTAGACTGCAACTGTGATGGCGACAAAACAAGTAAAACTACATAATGATAATAGATTTCAACTTGATAATCCATAGATCATAACTGAGTGGAATTCGTTGAACAAAATTAAACATTTAAGGATCCGCCCAAGACAACAGAAAAGAAAGAAAGACATGTGCTGTTAATGAGACATAAACACATAGTAATTGAGATGATTAATCTCTCAATATTGCTTATTATTATTACTATCGGACAACTTACATAACAAAGTTGCTTTATTGTGCATTTTATTAGGAAAAATGGCAAATAAAATTAATTTTAATTTGCATCTTAAATGCCTTAATTAAAAATGATAATGTTGAATAGTTTTGCTACTTATTGTTGAATTAAATTAGCAGATTTTAGAATGTTCGCGGTTTCAAAAAGTTCATTTGATTGAGTATTTTCATTTAAACCTTATTCTATTGCAAATGTTTTGAGATACACTCTTGTGTAAATATTCTGGAGAAAATATGAACAAAAGGTTGATGATAAAAATGTCAATAACTTTTATCGCAGATGTATGAAAAAAATAAATTTCAAAAAAATTTCTGAAACATGATTAAAAAAATTTATTAAGTCCGCTACATGTGTACATGTGGAAATAGTTCAAATCTAAAAATATCATGAAAATAAAATTCCTAATTTATTCAAATGAAAATTTTTAAATATTTTTTTCTAGTTCGTCACACACTTCAAAGTGTCAAGGCAAGTAATAATAATTCACAGTGACGTTTCCTTTTTGTTTTTTATTTTACACTTGAAAAAATAGCGACACATAAAGTTGCCTTGACATTTCGCAAAGAATCGCTTATTTTTTTAAAGTCTGCTAAAGTTTAGAATCGTGCTCAAAAAAAATATTAAATGTGTGAGATTGTGGAAGTAAAAGAAAGGCGCTTAAACATATTTATTGTAACAATACAAATTTTATTTAATTACTACTTGATTTACATTTTATTGATGTTTATAGAACAATAAAAAAAATTGATGTTATAATATTTGAAGAACAAAAAAAATTGGGGTTAAAAGAATTCATATTAATTATGTTAATTAAGTTCACAAATTAGGAACAAAGAACGAATAAATATTAGTTGACGATTCAAAATCACTGAGTTTATAATTTGTAGTATTTTTTTAACTCATTTCCATATAGACGACCTTGAGGATATTCACAACTTTACTCATCGTCACCGAATGAATTATTTGTAGGTAATTCAAATGCTTTTGATTTTCAGAGTTGCTGCTTGGATGAGGTATTGTTGGGCTGTATATAAATTGACAGAAGAACTACGAAATCTGTAATTTTTTAAAAAATTCAGATTTTCTATTCAAAGTTCAATTTTAAAGATTTCTTTAAGAAGTCTTTTGTGATTGTTTGACAAAATTCTTGAAACCAGTTTGCATGCCAAACATTGGATCAGCCCTGTACCATCCACAAACTCCTTTAATCTAATTTTATAAGCATGTTAAGTGAGCATTTTAAAATTCTTAGCTTGACTCAATAATGAGATTAAAATTTGTTTCTAAAATCAATCAAAAACAAATATTCATGAGCGTGACTCAAAACTATGTTCCTGTTTAAACTAATATTATGGACATGTGGATGTCAAAAAAATTGATTCCATTAAGGGCTATATTTATTTAACAACATTGGTAGCGTCGCAAAAGACTTCAATTTGCAATGAATAAAAATAGCTTTTTAAATTCTTCGTCAATGTTTGTCAAAAACAAAAACATCTGCAAAATTTGCAAATATCATCATCTTTTCTAAAACTATTAAGGAACAGCGTTGATTCGGGAATTAGTCGCCTGACCTATTCACAATCAAATTTTGTTAAAATCTCAAATTGTAGAATATCAATTTTCAATTCTAGAATAAAAATCTAGGAACTAATCTGAGTAAGGATCGAGGCCCTCCACCTCACATCGAGGAATTGAACTAATTTGATGTCACTAACAAAGAGCAATCATCTTAATCCAATCAATATGCAAATTATAAATCTGACTTAATCAAAAATAAAAAAAATTCGATAAATCTGTCAAGCCATAAAGCAGCATATCCAGGTGGCTGCAGCCAAAACTAACCGCTCGAAATGACTTCGTTTACAGTCTTCTTTCGCGAGAATCGACATCACAATCTCATTGTTAATATCAAGAGATTTAAACAGCATAATGTTTGGGAAAAAATTAATTGTCGGCACAAAATTGACGGAAAAATTCTCAACATAAAGTTCCTTCAATTTTTTACAGTGACGTTCGAGCATTATCATGTCATGATTTTGCATTAGACATGTTTTATAAATTATTAGATTAGGAAGTGACTTGAAAATTTTATATAATATAAATGAGTCATTGTCTTTCATGTCATCAATATCAACTCGAGTAATTGATGTGTTGACGTTTAAAGAAATAGTTGGGAGACTCTCAGTTCCATAATTAATATCAAATGTTAAATTTATCAACTTTTTCATTTGAAATATAATTTCTAGTCCATTATATCCACACCACTGATTAATTGATAGCTCCTCAAGGGATTTACTTTGTAGCTGTAAAATGTCACACAATAATTCCCGATTGTCAACAGTCATGGGAACATTCAACTTTGGTGAATGAAATGACAATTTTCTTAGTCGAAATTTACATAAGTTAATGATATTTTTAATTTGTGCACTTCCATTCATAATTTGTAAACTTAATGTCTTCATTGTTGAATTATTTAATAGTATTTCTCTGACTAATTGCCACTCATTCAGTTCCTTCCTTTCCGAATAATCGAATGTTAATAAATTTGTGCATTTTTTGAATAACAAATTAATATTTTGTGCATTCTTGTAAAGTGTCAAGTGCCTTAGTTGTGGGAATTTAAAGACTATTCCCTTATCACATTCAAAATCACATCGTATAAAGCTTAATATTAATGTTTGTACAGTCTTTTCAATACATTCCATTGGCCATAAAGATTTGCACATCTTTCCATCGCTATATTTTACTTTCTTGTAACTTGTTTGACCCACTTTCGCGACTCTCTCTAGACTTTCGTCGAACACTAACGTACCTAAATTAACTGATACATTTTTGTAGTTCCGTTGGCTTGTTAGGAGAGTTTCGAACGATTCATCCAGGTCATCTTGGGTGTTTTTGTAGATGAAAATATTTATTCGTTTCATATTTTGTGAATTTCCAATTTCTTCGTGCCATAATTTTGACACAAATGACTTTCTCATGAGATCCTTTGGCTTTAAATGTTGAAAAATTAGATCATATAATTCAGGAGTTAAGATCCTCATAGGATCTACACATTTTCTTTCGATTCTTTCTTTCATAACAGAATTTCTTTTTAATTTTTCTAAATTTTATTGCTTTAGCTTTTTTTTTAAGCTCCTCACTCGATGAGCGGTTTTTAGCGACTGAATGATTTTTTATTCTCTGTTATTCGTTCTTTTCTTTTTAAAAAACACTAAAATGAGTACAGCTGTTTATGTGTCAGTGTTGTGCAAAATATTTAATTTTTCTTATGCATATCTTAATATTTTTCTATATATTTTAAATATATATTAATGAATTTTGACTTACAACTGGCTTTTGAGGTTCATTGAATCTATTGCAGAACAATGTATAGGTAAGTGACTCAGTTGCCGGCATTTATATTCGAAAATATGTATCGTTCAATTAGTTTCATGTACTTTTTGAAGTTCATAATATTTACTTGCTCACTTTATTGATCGTAAATATTAATTTTTGTTGATTCTGTGCCTAGCTTCCGCTAGCTATTTACCAATTCTTAGTACAATATTGCTCCTATTGACAGTTTCCCAAAGAAGTTCATAATAATTTTGGCTATATTCATAGAATTATGATCAAGAATGATTCAAATCTTGTTCACTTCCCCTCAAACCTTAAAGATTTAAGAATCTCAATTTCAAACCAATTCAACTTCTAATTTTTGATTCCAAAAAAAAGTAGGAAACAACTTTGTAATCATTTTGAATATCAATCATCAGATCCACTTTTCAAAGTCTATCATTTCATATTTCAATTGTAAACTAAAGTATAGAGTTTGAAATTAAACACTGATCTGGTATAAAAAATTGAATAGAGTCGACTAGACTTCAAACAAAATTCACGTTGGCTATAAGGACAAAAAATAGCGAAAGGAAAAGTGTAAAAAATCATATAATCAAATTAATCGCATCTAATAAATTAAGTCATCGAACTTGAATCATTTGCGAAAAATAAGTATTAAGTCTTCTTTAACCTTGCTTCATTATCCAGGTTTTTGCTACATTGTGTCATAATTTTTTTTGCTATTTAGTTGCCAAACGAAGGAACATTTCATAAAAGCTGACATAAGGATAAACAAAATTTTTAAAAAAATTTGTGTTATTTTTTGTGCATTGTTCGTAAAAAATATATTTTGGTTGGATTAAAAGCTTATTAGCTTAAAATGTTTTTTTTGCTTAAATAATTAATAAATTCTTTGTTCAGCTTTCAAAGTTAAAGCAAAGATTTCCAAACAAACTTGCATTTAAACTTGCTGAGAGTAATTACTGTGTTTTAAGAATTAATTCTTGCTGTTATGAATTCTTGATTTTAATGATTTCAGTTGATTTGTTTGATTTTAATGTTAACTTTACTTTTTTAAAGATTGATTTAAGATACAAATTGATACAAAGACTATTATGAATAAAGTTAATATAGATGAAAATAAATGCTAGTTTTTTACACAACATGATTATAATAATATACAATTTTAGAAACGCAACAAATTTCTATCTGAATTGGAAAGTTTTAAAATTTTCCTGACTTTTGTGAATCCCCGAAAACTGCTTCCAAAACACACCAGATAAACAAATCAAAATTGATACGATAAACAAAAGCATTTGAACTAGTTTCCTCAAACTTACAAATATTCTTAAATCTAACGTACAAATCACACTCCATGTCCCACTAGAATTTGTGTTAATTACCTTCTTTATTATAAAAGTTTTTAATTATTCTTTTTATTGTTACAACTGTTACTCTTCATCCATGCTTCACTTTATTTACCTTTTCTCTTCGTTAAATGAAGAAAAAGAAAAATAGTTCAGTGAACCGAAAGAAAGAGATGAAAAATGTGCTAAAGAGAGAATTGTGAGGTGATTCTCTGAGTATAAATTCGCTATTATCACGTGCTTTTCGACAGAAAATAACGGATAGAAGAACTTCTTTTTGCAAAGAATAATTCGAGTTTTGAGCTTGAAGCTTTATTTTGTTCTAATTTTAAATTGACAAGAATGTAAGACAATTTAAATCTGGTTCCTATATTTTTAAAGTCACTTTTTAAGTAAACATCAAAATTGAAGTCAATCCTTGCTTACTTAATCACGACAAGGTCGACGATCTTGATATATCATTGTTTTTTGCGTGTCGTTGAGTAAGTTTTATAGAATTCATTGACTAGTGTTTGTAGTAAAACGTTAATTTATGGGAATTTCTTAATTGTATAACTTTTAATTCATAAGACTTAGCATCTGTTTTAAGAAGAATTAAATCGTGAATTGAGAACTGTAAATGTATTCTATAGAATTTCATCAATAGTTTACAGTTTGAGATATTCTTAAAATATTTAAATATTCAAGCTAATGTTTTAGACAAAAGAATAATTTTAAAAGCCATTATTAATTAGGGATTTGTCGTGATGATTTGATTTATGAAGCAATTAACTTTTCAGTAATTTTATAACCGCAATCATTATAAAGTTATCAAACTCGTCGTTATGTTTCTTTAAATGGCAATTAAGTTTTTAAATCAATGACATCAAAATTGCATTGTCGTGACATTCAAAAAAGGAGCCTAGCTAGTGATAGTGATTCAATGACAAACTCAACATGATTGGTTTTTATTTTTAAGCCTTTCCTGAAAAAATTTGATTAGCAAAAATTGATAAAAAAACTTGATTTAATATTATTCTAAAATTTTAAACATTAAGCTTTTCAAGACTTTAAAAAAACTGTCAAAATGTCAACTAATGCTGTTTTTTGTCTCCTTATGATTATGCTTTGATTGAAAACTCAATAATGAATAGCACAATACAAAATATAGACATCATATTGTCAATTCAAATGCCAGAATCTTAATTAACCTTACAAAAATAATCACGTGGCACCGAAATTCTGATTCCCTCCAAGGCTAAGCATTGATTCCACGTGTAATTAAAAATCAAATGCTGCATCACGAAAAATAGTTTAATTGACAAATTAATTTTTCATAAAGTCTCGTAGATTATTTGCTGATATTATTTATTCATGATAATCGCTTTACCTGAAATGCCCACGACAAAGCATGCGTGTTTGAAGCTGAAATCAAGATTTAAATTAAATATTTAACATAATTATGTAGATAATTAAACAGACATAAGTGAATTCAACACGTGAGCATTTAATTTTTTTTATTTTTTGTTATTTCATCCAATTTTATTGATTTTAATTATTATTAAGATATCATTATTATTATTATATTATAGACATTACAATTGTAAGAACATGATTTTTTTTTACCTCATTGATTATTTCTTTTATCCTTTATTTATCATTATTATTACTTCATTATTTATCATGATACGCTATAGCGAAGAAAGAATTCATTTTTTTTATAATTTATAAATATTATTATGAGCATGAGTGGTATTTTGGGGAAACTCTCTGCAAATTCATAAATTTTTTTATTTTCGTTTCTATTTTCAACATTTTTAGGTATTTTTGTAAAATCATTTTCAATGTGATTTCCTTTTTTTTGTTTCTTTCATTTTGTATTAAAAATTATTAAAAATTACACAAAAATTTTTCATCACACAAAGATTTCTTTTTTCATCCTTCATTTTCTTCTTGTTTCTTTTGCGTTAAAAAATAACAAACTTAAATCCTTATTAGAACTTAATTTCAAATAAAATTCAATCACTAAAAGAAAAATTTTATTGGGATTTAGAGGTTTTTATTGACAGTTTTTCATCCATTTCTTGTAGAAATTGATTTGAGAATTGGACTTCTTATCCAATCCGATCCTGTTACTTAGGATTATTGCCTTGAAATCAAATTCAGATCAGAAGCTTTGTTCAGTCATTTTCTGAGCGATTATCATTCCACCTGAATTTTTTTCCATGAAACTTTCATATTAGCAACAATTTTAATATTGAGATAGTCGCCTTCGTGGAATTCTGTTGGATACTAAGAGCTACGTTTTACATTTTCTTGAAGTTTCATTAAAGTTGTTGCATTTTTAAATATGAATTTAAGGTTTCATTGATCTTAATCTAGAAAATCGCTCAGTTGTGCACCATTAGGATATAAATTTGAATTGATGTTTTTTAATAAATAAAATTTGTACATTTTTCCAATTTGTCAGTGAAATCGACATTTGATTCAATTGCTTTTAATGACTGTCTAGTTCTGATCAATTTAAATTTGATGAGGATCGAACCAAACCGCCTTTTGTTAAGGTTGCAAAACCCCAACTCTACTTAGACTTCAAGTTATGACAATATGATCTATTTATCCGTCGATCTCATACTCAAGCAAGATTTTCTCTTTACCAATATTTACAACTTAGAATGTAAGTTCTCTCAAAAATCTCTACTCAGGATAGGAATTTATTATTTGCAATCTTTTTTTTTTCATTGTAAATTAATTAAATAATTCATTCTAGCCAACAATTATTCCTTGATTTAATTTATTTAAACATTTTTCTTCCGTGAGAAAAAAATAAAGACGATAATTTAAACGAAGACAGTTTCATCCAGCATGCTGCATAATATAAACAACATGAAACAGTGGAAATAAAATTATAAACCGTTCTTTTAAAAAAAATCCTACGCTCATAACTTATCGAAATATAAATTATACAATTAATCATAGATCCTATCTATTGCACATTATTAGGATGTTGTTCATCTAAAAATCTAATAATTTTCATTTTGTTATATTCTCATTTTTTTCTTGCTCAAAAATGTTTTTTTTTTCTTTAGTAATCTATAAAATGTGTTTTATGTGTCTGTATGTGTGTGTGTATGTTTCCATTCGTGTTTGTGTGTAGTTGTGTACTTTTACCTTAATAAAGCAATTCTTTCAGATTAAACTTCTAAGTTTTCTAGCAAAAATGTTATCATTCCTTAAAAATTTTCTTATTTTAATCGTAAATTCTGAGTGGGATTGTCCGATTGTGTTGCTGCTAAATTTTCTGAAGATTACTCAACCTCATAGCACTTGTAGCTACAGCACGGAGGTAAATTTTTTGGTAAACACCAACACCTACCTTAAAGTATTTGTAGTCGTTTACCGAGAAACTGACCTTAGACATCGAAAAATCCTCACAATTACGATTTATCCTTAAAAAATTTTCCTTACTACTATTAGAAGAAAAATCTCATTCGGTGAAGTTTTCAATTTCTTCCGCATGCATTCCAAAATGATAAATTCAAAAAAGCAAATGTAACTCTGCCACAAACTCTTTAGAATCAACTTATCATAAAATCGATTAATTTAGCCTTCAGCCGTCAATGGATCTCGAGCATGATGAATCTTGATGTGCTTATTATGATTCGTTTTTGTTGCTGATGTCTTTCCACAAATTGTACAGGAGAAGGGACGCTCGCCTGTATGGACACGTTTATGTTCGGTGAGATAATAAGCCCGATGAAATTTCTTATTGCATATATCGCATGTAAATTTCTTCTCTCGCTCGTGTTCACGTGAGTGACGCAACCAATTGTATTTACGAACGAATCTTTTACCGCAAGTATTGCAAGTAAATCTGTATATATTGAGAGAAAGGTGGAAGGATAGATGGATCGTGTAGAAGAAGAAGGCACACATAAAAAGGAAAGAAAAAAGAGAGAAAGAGAAAAAAATGTTTTTTTAGCGCAAGTCCACAACAAAATTTTGTTTAAGTTCTAAATGAAATTCAAATATTGCAATTTTCTTACGGTTTAATTGATCGGTGAGCATTCATATGTGTTGTGTAGTCGGTCTCACGCACAAACGCACTGGGACATACATTGCATTGGAATGGTTTTGAGCTACGGTTTGCATGAGTCCAATGATGCTGCTTTAGATTCCATTTTGTGCTAAATTGTTTACTGCAAATCGAACATGAAAATTCTTTATTTGATAGTTGATGTGTAGCCATGTGAGCCTTTATACTAGACGGCAAGTATGTGCAGCTACAAATCGGACAATTAACTGCTTTGCTTTTGACAAAGACATACTTTTCCGTGTGCGATAATCGAATGTGACGGGTTAGACTATTACGATGCGTGAAACGTTCACGACAGTAGGGACAAGGTTTTGGCTTATTCTCATGAGTCTCTTGATGCCACTCTAATTTAGCTTTTGTTTGGAAAATTTCACCACAATCGCACACATAATCCTCCTGTTTAGCCTTCTTATTCAAATGTACTCGTGCCCTATGATGAAGCATATTTGAGTATCTTCTAAATCGTTCATCACAATCAGGACATTTGATGGGTAGACTGCCGGTGTGGATTCTCTCATGCTCTACAAGCCTTTGACGTTGAACAAAACGTTTTGGACAAAATCGACATGCATGGACACGAATGTTAAGATGATGCTTCAAATGTAATGAAAATGTATTCCAGCTATTGAAAGTCTTTTGACACAATGTACATTCAGCAGGATGAATTTGAAAGTGCTTATCAAGTAGCTTGAGTGTACGGAATTGTTCATTGCACTTTGCGCACATATAAGTTCTCTTAATTTTTAATCCTAATGTTGACATTTGTTGCGTAGTTGAGGATGTCGAAGGCTCCAATAATAAACGATCCATTTCCATCTTTATTGAGCCTGTTGTACTAATAAGCATTCTATTCATCTCATTTTTCACAAGAACAGCAGCTGACGTTGATGGTTCATGTTTAATGATACTCAATACTTTCACTTCTTGCTCCTGTGTTGTCGATGTTGCATTCCAATTGACAAGTGCCGAAGACGAGGATGTTGGAAAAACAGTCGGTTCTGATTTGCTTGTTTGTGTTGCAGTCGGTGCTGGTTTAATCTTTTTCACTCGTCTAAAGTTTGGATGTTCTTGCTCCATGTGACGATTTCTCGCTCTCAATTTCATAAAGACTTTCGAGCATTCAGGACAACGGAATGAGCGATTTTTCTTTACAATTAAATTGCTATTACTACCACTTGCTTCGTCATTAATACCTGATGGTTCTTGTTTTGCTACTGTTTGCATAATTGTTTTCAATAAATCGGGTGCTTTAATGTCTTCTTCGCCATTCAATGGTGGACTACAAATAAAATAATAAATTTTATAAATACATATAAAGATTAAGATCTTTTGGGATCGACACATAAGGGGAAGGAACTCGTCGTCCTGCACGAATTCATACTCACAAATTGATTATCACATTTTGTATGTTATTGGAATCGCATGCATTTTGGCTATCGGCTTTTGAAAGGTTCCAACATTCTTGCGCTGTATTCATGTCATATGAACTTGGGTATGCTTGTAGTTGGAAGTACTATAAAGAGGCAAAAACAATAACTTAGTGGCAAATTTCCATTAAAAATGTAAAGAAAACTTACTGGATGATGCCAAGGCTGTTCGATTTCGCCATTACTCTCCTGTTCGCTAATTTCACCACGTGCTGGCATTTTCTCATCAGTACGAATATTTAAGCTATCTGTTGATGGCGCACGAATATGAACATCATTTCTTGACGTCTTTAAATTTACATCAATGTCTGTATAATTACTTCTATTATCATCAAACGATGGCGTATAACGTGAACATGTTGAATTCTGATCGGAATTTTGTGTTACGACACTGCTACTATTATTCCATGACGCATCTGTCTCTTGCTTCGGTTGATCTTCGCTTGTCGAAAATGTTTTCATATAGACGTATGGAGATAGCGGAGGTGAAAATCGGACACGATCATTTTGATATAAAAAGTTGATTGGTGAACTCTCATTGATGTTAATTGAAGAGACATTTTCTATATTTATTCTTGCGGGACTTCGTGAGCACGAACTGCTCTGACTGTTTGATGCCATTGAGGATGCACTGCATGAACTCATTTCGGTCTTTACAATAATCGGCAATTCATTATCAGTTTGTTCTCTTTTCACAGCGACGCTCGTTGTTTCAGGCTCAAGTTCCATACTCATTACAGATTGATTTGTCTCCGAGTCATGATGAATTTCAGGTGTTACTGTAATCTTTTTTATTGGCTCATAATCGTGCTGATCAAGAAATGTTACTGTGAATTGTTCATTGCTCTCAACCTTAAACACTGTCGAGTCACGTTCGGTCATTGCACTATGTTTCTGTATATCGACATTTTCGTCATCATGATCGTGTAACTGAGTTGTTGTAATTGTTTCACGTTCCATATTTTCATTCTTAATTTGTGTGGTGTCTTTGTTATCAGCATTTGCAGCAACAGTTTGAATGGTGACACTCGATATCGATGACGTACATTCGCCACCTTCCTGAAGAGGTTTCTTTAACTTTACCACTAACTTTTTTGGTTGCTTATAAATTTCTTTTTGCTTCAGTCTATTTGTAGAATTGAACACAACATTAGTAGAAGAAGATTTCCGCAAGCTCTCACTCGATGTGCTAGGCTCGGGCTCATTCTTGAGCTTTTGCTCCTTACTTTCATCTTGGGCTTTTGATGTCGATGGAATAGCGTCTAAACTTATCGTTGTTGCTGTTTTCCTTATTACACTTGTCGTGCATGCGCTAGAACTAGAACTTGAAGCCTCTTCCTTATCATTGCTGCTAAGATTCAACGTCTCAGTGCATTGAATTAAAGCCTTTGTATCATTTTTATTCATATCTTCTTTCATTTCAACATCATAGTCGTCATCATCCTCTGTGTCAGTGATTTCAGTATGAACAATGTCCACAACCGGTTGTTCAATTTGCATTTCTTTTTCAGTCTGTGTTTTATTATTATTACTATTATTATTATTATTATTATTTTTACTAGTACTGCTTGCATTATTATTATTATATTGTTTAATGATATCTTTTATAGTCGGTGAAAGCATTTCAGCTGATGTCAACTTAACATTGCTAATGACTTTAACACCAGATTTTCTAGGTGCATGACTTTCAATATTTGAACTTGATCCTTGAGATTCATTGAAACTATTAATTTGCTCCACTTCCGATTCTTCAATTACTGTATAATGTTCTTCCTGATGATATTTCCCACTGTTGTTATCACTCGATGATAAATTAAATGTTAGCGGTTCATTAATCTCGACGTACTTTACATTATAGCTATTATCGTCTGAATCATGAATTTCTTCTATGATTTCCTCTTCATGTGACATATTGTGGGAGTTTGTGGATTGTTGATGCTGATTCTGATGATGCTGATTGTGGTGATGGGTAGTCGATAGGAGTTTTTCGGTTATCATATAATCGCCATTTTCCGTTTGTGTGTATTCAAGAATTTTTTGTGGTGCCGACGTTAACATTAAGTGACGATTCTCATCTGCGCCGTTGCTGCTCAAGGTCGTCAGTTTGTTATTGTTGTTATTGTTGTTGCCGTTGCCGACAATACATTGTTTCTCCATCATTTTCATTGCTGTATTTGTGGGTGTTTGTGTGAGATCAATGACTCGTGGCTTATCATTTATTGTATTGGTGACTGAAGATTCGTATGAAGGTGGTGGTCCAGAATATTTCTCGCTTGTGTAGCGTGGAATTATTGATATTGCATTTGGAACTGAATTTGATAATGTGGAATTGTCCATGATGACGGGATGTAGTTCTATGGCAGTTGATGTTTGTCCATGCTGTTGCTGCTGCTGCTGTTTTTTGACAGGAACTGTTTGTTGAATGGAAAATTGTGTGCTACTCGTATTTACAATCATAATATTTTTCTGCTCTGTATTTTGTTGGATACACCGAAATGCCGTTTTGTTATTATCACTAGCAAATAAATCATTTTCATTTGTCACTCGTCTTCCGTAACTATGATTGGGTGTTACAGCTGTTGCATTGAGGAAGGTCGTGGTTGTTGGCGGAGAAATGTTGGCTGCTGCTTGCTGCGTATCGAGTGTTAATCGATATGGACGATTACCAAGAAGAACTGCATTATTGCCAGTATTTCTTTTTGCAAGAGCGAAATTACTATTTTGAATAGGTGTCTGATTTTGTTGTTGTTGTTGCTGCTGCTGATTTTGTTGTTGATATATGTGGGTTTGTGATGAATTAAATGGTGTTGTGAGATAAACTGTTGTCGCAGCCATTTCATTAGAATTACTCACAGGCGTTTGTTGTTTAGGTGGTTCTGTCTTAACTGAGAGTAGAGCCTTGATTATCATATCCTTCGGATGGGTATCTAAATGATCTTGTAGACACATTCCGGGCAATAAATAAAGCATACAAATCGGACATTGTTGTTGCTCCATTTTTTCTGTGTCTTCTCTCGTTCTCGTTCTCTTTCTCTTTATTACTCCTCTTATATATTTTTTAAAGGTGTAGAATTTATTACAAAAAAAATTTGACTAAGTTTTTATCCTGAAGGAATTTAAATTCTTTCACTAATTTCACCGAATGAACTTTTAACACAACTTTATTATTTATTACACACAAATGGTTGATTTGCTGTAACTTGCTATCACACTATGAGACTTATGGATTTTTTTCATCATTTTTTTATACATTTTTTTTTATTTCGAATCATCCATTTGCTTTTTTCAACTTTTTCTTCTTCACTTTTTTCACATCGCAATTTAAATCCTAAATGTCGATCTGAAATGGATAAAAATTGCGTACTTTGTTAGAATGGACCACAATTAATGTGAATATGATATAAGAAAGGATGAAATGATTGGGAAAAGAAAGTTAAAATACGAAACAAAGGAGACAAATTAAAAATCGATATTTCACTATTAAACTTAATCAAATTCAGTCACATTCATGTCAACTTACTTCACTTTACTGTTATATTTAAGAATATATCACTTTAATTATTTGAACACTTAAAAAATGAATTTAAATTAATAAATTTCTGATTTTTTTTATAAATGGAAATATCCTGAAAGCGACATCTGATTTTAAAGCCGCAAAGTTTTTACATTGACTGTAAACTTATGGATGGAATTGTCTTTAATAGAACTGCTTGAATGGTTTGTGACTTACTAAGTGTTTTCAGGTTCACATTCAATTATTTCTTGTATTGAAAACTTGGTCTTTAACTTTAATCACTTGATATTTTGAAAATATGATTTAACTTTAATCAATTTTAAAAGTTGAAAAATAAACGACTTTTTAAAATTCAAACCAACATTTTTAAACTACAACAACAAAGTTTGTGGAAAGTCAACAAAAAGAAAATTATTAATTATAGCCGAAAATATGGTGAAAAACGGTAAGATAGCAATCAATTCTTATAAAACATGGTGTAAAGCTTTACTTATGAATCATGTGCATAGAGATAGACAGCAAAAAGAGTAGATATTTTAGGTTACAAACTTATTTCCAGGAAAGAGGAAAATTTTGAAGGAAAATGAGGAAAGTACAGACTTTAAAGGATGGAAAATAGTAGATTCAAATTCAGGACCGTCAACAAAAATGTCTAAACTACTTCAATGGACAGAAATTGACATTAAAAATGATGAAACTGAAGTTTCACTAAATGAATCATTAATTAAGGATGATTTCATCAATAACTTTACTGACAGCTTTAAAAAAAGGAAACCAATGAAGATAACTAATGTACAGCTACTAAATGACCCATTTCAAGTAGCTGTAGTCAACAATTTACTTAAAGATCCAGAATTGATTCCAAAATTAGTTGAGGAAATGGAAAATATTGAATGGAATAAGAAGCAAATGGATTTATATGAATTCTATCAGTCTACAGACTTAGTCAATGTGGGATCTCCATATATATCTAGTTTCTACAAGTTTATTACAAATGACATGAAAGTTTGGATGGAAAAATTGACAGGAATGAAGATCCAGAAAGTCTCAATGTCCTGCTCAATGTATAATTGTACAAACTTCCTCTTATCACACGATGACTTGCTATCTGATCGGCTAATTGCTTATGTGTTTTATTTATCTCCTTGGAAAGAAGCAAATGAATGGAATGAGACAATGGGCGGTGCCTTAGAAGTCTTTAAAAGTGACAGTAATGGACAGCCACAATATCCAGCATATAAAAAGTTCTTCCCATCAAATAATCAGCTTGCATTCTTTAAAGTCGAAAAAAAGTCACATCATCAAGTTGGAGAAGTTTTAACGAAAGACTATCCAAGATTAACAATTCACGGCTGGTTTCATGGTTTTAAAGACAATGTCGATTATGATGCAGATGCTGTAAAAATCAAAAGACCAAATGTACCGATTTTTAAGTCACCAAATAGCTTAGCATTTGTAAATTCTAAAATAATTAACAAAAATTATTTAAAAGATTCGATTAAGGCTGAAATACAGCAACAAATTGAGGATAATTCAGAAGCTGGACTTGGTGAATTCTTGACTGATGAGTTTTTAGGGAATATTCAAAAGGACTTGACTAATTCAAGCTTAAAATGGACTACAAAAGGTCCAGCAAATCAACAAAATTATGAAATCCTCGATGTTCAGTCAGTGCCAAAAAGTTCAAGCTTAAAAGAATTAATTTCACTGGTTGGTTCCAAGCATTTCTTCAAACTTCTTCATGAATACACAGAACTAGATGTGTATGGAAAGAATGCAAAGTCACCAACATGCACTGTTGAGTTCCAGCGATGGAAAGGAGGCTGTTATGCCTTAATTAATGATCCAACAACTTATAGCGATGACTCGCTGGATCTTATTCTTAATATTGGACATAATGAAGGTGTTGGTACTATAACATACTTAGTTCCTGACAAGCAGGATAACGATTCAACTTCGGACTATGAAAATGAGGAGGATGACTCGGTTCTTTTGACAATTTATCCACAAAATAATTTTTTAAATCTAGTTTATCGTTCAGCTGGAACTGCCAAATTTACAAAATATTGCTATAAATCAGCAATCATGGACAGTGAATTTAATTACATTTTATCATGTTCCTACAAAGAATGAAGACATTTCATCAATAATTAAAATGCACATGATTCAAAACAAGAAATGATGAATTTTTCTTTAAATTACATTTCTCATATTTCAGATGAGTTTTTCAAGATTTGCTCCACAATATCCTACATCGTTGTTATATTCGTAATTGGACTTCCGATGTGGTGGAAGTAAGTTTCTATTTTACCGGCTTTTTGAAGTTTGAAATTTAACGGTTTCGTAATTTTTGAAAAACTTGATAAAATTCAAAATCAATAAATCCGTTCAAAAGCAATCAAAATATTAATTAATAAAACATTTTAGGTCTACAGAAATCCACAGAGCAGCTCTCCCGTCTGATGAAATAGCTGTGCTTGATAAAACTCCAATAACATTTACCATGAAAATTGGAATCTTTATCGGCAATGATGAGAGACAAAAGACAGTCGTAGAGGAACTTGAAGTATTTTTCAGGAACAATGACATGTTTAATGCCATCCTAATCCCTATTCAAGTTAGTCAATCAGATATTTCAAATATTCGCACGCCTGGAAGTCTAGAGATAATGTTAAACAAATATTATGTAGCAAAGCCTGGAGACTTACTCGTGGCTGAGTGGAATAATCTTCAGGATGATGTACTTGTAACAAATGAGAGGACATTATTTGTATCGCCAAAAGCTTGTAAGTAAATTTTAAAGTTCTTGAAAATTTAACGATTATATTAAATTCAAAATTTACCGGCTTTAGAAAATTTAAACGAACCAGAATGACACGAACTTTTAGGACTACTGAACATTTTTTTTTAATTTTTGAAAACAGTTAAAAAAATTTGAATCCTAAAAACTCGTTAAAATTATAAAGGCTTTAATTAACAATTCCTTCACTTCCAATTTAGCATCACAAAAAATCTATGAAGTAATCAGATCCTGGATAGTCAGAGACTACAAAATTCGTTCAATTCTCGGCCAAGTCAAGACATTTGATGGAAAGCAATTAAGGCACAACTTCCCACCACCATCACCTGAATATGAAATAATGCTGTCAATTCTTAATCCAAAGCCTGATCTTCAAACACTTTACTGGAATGTGAAGAAGGCAACTGAAGATTATTTACAGCCATTCCTTAAAGAGTTCAGTGACTTGTCAGACTTTACAATTAAGTCACAATGGAAGTATCAAGTTCAGCTTAAATATGACAGTAAGCAGATCAAAGATTCATCAAAAGTTGGACGACATTTTGCAATGGACAAAGATTCACTTCCACATATAATCACGTCAATTGAGAGGAAATTGGGAACTGATGTCGCTAATAAGCCATGCATTCATCTCGTTGTCTATGCTCCACCTTGTAATTCAGCACCTGTTTACATCTATAAAGATTCAAAACGTGTGTCAAATTTAACATTTGATTCCTTTATATCCGCAAAATGGGGTGGAATTGTCATTGCTAATCCACCAGACACAACATGCTCGGTTATATTAAGTGAGGATGATGGAACTAAACCTAAAGAGATCTATTTACATTCACATGCTATTATGGACTTTGTGCTGTATGAATTGAGGAAGATTTTTGAGCTGGAAGTGGAAGTTCCGATTAATAATGCAGCACTTGTCAGTTTAGAACAAATTACGCCAAGATTGTGGGAAAAGGACATGTACTTAAGGAATGGTGCTGTACATTTGATTGCATCTGCTTCGTCTACGTTACAATCATTAATTAAGCTACTCGATGACATAAAAAATATCGTAATCGGAGATCATGTTGGACATGAAATTTATGCTGCATATGAAAATGTCTTAAAAGCTAAGGAACATCTTGCAAATAATGAAATTAATAAGGCTGTTAAGCATGCAAGAATTGCATTTATTGCTGCTGAAAAAGCATTTAATGATCCAAGTTTATTGGAACTGTTGTATTTCCCAGAAGAACAAAAATATGCCATTTACATTCCTTTATATCTCCCAATCATGATTCCTGTAATATTCAGCTTTAATTCAATTAAAAAATATTTTAAGAAAAAGAAGGAACAAGATGTGGATGAGAAGGATGAAGTGTCCAAAAAGGATAACTAGACTGTCGATTTTGTACCAAAAAAAATATAATTTCTTAATAAAATTTACTTTATTTTAAGCTTGAATCTACTTTATTGTTAATTATTGTGGATTTAGCATTTAATTGCTGAAACAGAATTTTAAGAATTTGAATTTCAACGGATTTTAAAAATTCAAAATTTCAGTCAAATTTATTTTTACAATTCCAAAAATAACGGTCAGCTGACATCCAGTAAATCCAACACTAAATCCTCAAAAAAATTCTATTAATTACAGCAATGACATTACTTCGGTTCCGTCACTTCTCCTTCAAAGATTTTTGTCTTATCTATATAGTCACCATCAATATATGGATATTCCTTTATTGGAGGTGTATTTACAGGACCAACACAGACTATTGGGATCATGCTTATGTCTGGCTGAATAGCTTGTTGATACAATTCTTCGGATTCAAAACGAAGCTCGTCAAGTGCCTTTTTCTGTGCATTTGCCATACGATCAATTAGCTTAAAATCATTCAGATTTTCTTCGTTCTTGTATTTTGACCATTTCTTAAGCAGTTGTGCTCGATATTCCTTAACATCCTCTGTAATTTCTTGTAGCTTTCTTGTTCGAATGCTGAAAGTCAGAAAATAAAGTTAATTCATTTTAAACATCAATATAAGCCACATATACTCACTTTTGCTCATCAATCAGCGTAAATGGAGTCTCTAAGTCCTCAATAGGCTTCAATTGCCGAGCATTTTTCTCTAATCTTCGAATTTGCTTCTCTAATTTCTTTCTCTTTCTATCTTCACGTCCTTTAATGATCGATGGATCAAGCTTCTTTTTCTTCTTCAAAGGCTCAGCGAATAGAACTGGTGTATAATGGAAGTTAAGCTGATTTGATGTATGTAACTTATTTGCAAAATTTTGCGATATTGAAATTCTGAAAATTGCACCAAAAATGAGGAAATTCACAATGATTTTGATTAATTAACTTACCTAGAGAATGATGAAAGGAGTTTCAGCATGTTGACTTGTAATTAAGTTGCCAGTTGCTTAGAAAATCATTGAAAATTTAAATAATTTGTTTTATGTCCACAAACCTCGATTTCTTGTAAATTTTGATATCTTACAACCTGAAAATTTTGAATTTTTTTCGGCTGTTATTTTTAAGAATTGAAAAAGTTGTAGAATTTGATTTCAAAGTCTTGAAAAGGAATGTAGTTTATTTAATCAGTTTAAAGCAGTATTACAGAAATAATAAAAAAATATTAATGGCCCATTGTTGATGTGTATTTTGTTACAGCTTTAGTTCCTTCCGAGACAGCATGTTTAGATAATTCTCCTGGCAATAATAAACGAACGCTTGTTTGGATCTCACGACTTGACATTGTTGCACGATGATTATGTTGCCCCAAACGTGAAGCTTCCCCAGCCAGTCTTTCAAATAAGTCATTGACAAAGCTGTTCATTATGCTCATAGCTTTCGATGAAATTCCCGTATCTGGATGAACTTGTCGTAATACTTTAAAGATGTAAATTGCAAATGATTCCTTTCGTTTATGACGACGCAACTTTTTTTCCTTTCCAGCAACTACTTCCTTCACTTTTGGGGCCTTAGCTTTAATTGTTCCTTTACCTTTGGCCATTTTGTTTTAAATTGAACTTTGTTTTTTGCACGATGTGAACTCGTTAAAGTCAAAATTATGAATGCAAATTTTGGGGTTTTGCGACTTCTTTTATAGTCGAAATTTTATAGCAAATGATGGAAAAAACAAAATGGCGGCATATGAATTCTTAAATTATTAAAATATCTCAATGAATACAGGAATTTAAAGTAAGATATCAACTTGAGCATGTTTCACAGTAGTTATTCTATGCTTTCAGTTATGTTAGGCTATTCAAATGACTCAATTCAATGCTTAAAATTAACCTTAAATTTAAACCATGCTGGGTTTAAAAAATTGTCATTTTAAGCTTAAATTCCCTCAATTTACAGCACTGAATGCAATTTAATCATAAAAAATAGTTAAGTTCTTATAGATTTAATAAATTTAAAGCGATATTTATGTCTATTAACACATAATTAATTTTCAAGACTGGATCTTTTGATTGTAGCTTAAGAAGCAGCAGTAACGTTCTTAGAAGGTTCTTCCATTGATTTGTCAAATTGAACAACGATTATAATGAACGAAATTGTTGCAGAAATGCACTAGAATTAAAAAAAGATTGAGCTGGATCTTTGAAAAACTATTAATTAAGTTACCCCAAACAAAAGTCTCCAATCAATATCAAAGAAGATTGTTTCAAAGGTGCTTTTATATCCACGAATGTGCTTCAAATATGCTTTAATTAAGTCAAAACTTTCATTATCCAAACTTTTTAAGTCGCTCAAAATCTGATACTCAATAGAATTGAAATTTACAAAGCTCGAAGAAACGCTGACTGACGAATGAATAGTAAAAATCCACAATAAAAGATACAAGAACATCCAGGGACCATCAAAAGCCATTACCATGAAAAATCCTCGATCTTCATGATGCAGAACCACAACAATGTCATGAAAATCAAATATCATTAATCCCAAAAATAATCCAAACATATAAATTATTGGCATCGTCAAGTTGTTGTTAATTAACTCAATTAATTGGAACAGCTTCTCATAAACATCCAGAATCAAATTAACTTCAAATTTGCTGTAAAATCTTCGTTTGTAAATTAAATTAAATCTTTCTCGGATAGCAATAACTGGACATACGAATTGAAAAACGAACAGGATGCAGTAGATGTGCATGAGATTATAATTAATTGACATAACTATATCAGTACCAAGATCTTGCATAATTAATAAAAATGGATTCAAAATAATATTGAAAAGCATAATCAAAAGTGCTCCATAAATGAAGTATATTGACTTGTTCCTCTGTTCTTTATAGTCTATAGTGAGCTTTAAAAAGACAAGCTGGAAGAAAAATTAATTAAGCTTAATTCGAGTCATTTAAAATCCACAAAAATGTGACAGAATTTTAAGAAAATTCAAATCTGAATAATGCGTTGAATTTACCTTATCATCAATTTGATTAAATAACTTATAAATCTGCTGAATACTTTCAGTTCTTGTGTGCTGATAAGCAAGTGTCAATAGCAAGAAGCTTCCACCGAACATCACAGTAGCTGCAAGTGCACTATCCATTATTTTCGATGGATTTAAGAATGAATTAATGTCTAAAGCAACATTCAACACAAATAGTCCAACGACAGTAAGCATTCAAAAAGCAGCATAAAGCTTATTAATTAGTTTCACTTTTAAGCAACAATTAGAGTCGAATGAAGGCACAAAAATACCAAAACACTTCAACAAATAATAAAGCGGACGAAATGAAAAACACAATTTTTCTGAGCTTTTTTGAATCATTTCCGTGTTATTTTAATGAATTACAGCACACGAGTGAATAAACAAGGAAGTGCGTGAATCCTTACATGACAATAAATGATCTAGATAAAAAGCTATTTACACTTATGAATAATTAATTTTATTAAATGCTGCTTCAGATTGACAACAAAAATTTGTTCTTCCTTAATTAAAGATAATTGTTGGTCTTGAAAAAGACCGTTTAATTATGCTGCAATTCCAGTGAATTTAACCACCAAATCCATACAATGTTCGTCCTTGTCGTTTGAGTGCATAAACTACGTCCATAGCTGTTACAGTCTTTCGTTTAGCATGTTCTGTATAAGTCACAGAATCACGAATGACATTTTCCAAAAAGATCTTTAATACTCCACGTACTTCCTCATAAATTAATCCAGAAATACGTTTAACTCCACCACGTCTTGCTAATCGACGAATTGCAGGCTTTGTTATTCCTTGAATGTTATCACGTAGAACCTTACGATGTCTCTTAGCTCCTCCTTTTCCTAGTCCTTTACCTCCTTTACCTCGTCCTGTCATGATTTTAACTATTTACTTTATTATTTTTGATAAGATGTTTACTGTTTAAAGTCCGAAAACTGAATGATAAATTGTTTGGAATCGTCGGTTCTTTTATACAGAAGTTGTGAGAGTGTATTAGTGTGCGTAAAACAATAGGAATTTAAAATGTGCTTAATTAACAGTATAAACTTAGGGAAACTACTAAAAAATATAAAATTGTGCCTAGTTAATATAATTATTGCAGTAAAAAGACTCAAAAGGAACAGAAAATAGCAAAAATGAGGTTGAAATTGAGACAAAAGTAAATGAAACAAAGGAAAAATGTTTCATCAAAAATTGACTTAATTACATATTTTTAGGCTCTTTTAAGCATATAGTTTAGCAGGACTCACTTTCATCGACATTTTCATTGCATCTTTTAGAGATCCAGACTGTATTTTTGCACTTAATTTTGTGATTTTAATATTCCACGTGTCAACTTAGAAATATTTTACTGGAAGTTGATTGTGCTTAAAATAACCCCATTGGAGGTGTCTTACTTTATTAATTTTGCAATCCATAGCTTATTAATCAATTTATAATAATTTTTTGACTCAATTTCTATGAATTAAAGGCGTTTTTTGATGATTTAATTTTTTCTTTTGTTCTCTGTATTCGCCATTTTAAATTTCTTCCATCAGCCTCCATCTTGCATTTTTGGGTATAAAACAAGTGACGCTGTGTATCTAAAATTCAGTATACTTTGAGACTTCAAGTAGTAAACATCGTGTTAAATAAGAATAAATAAATCGAAAATGTCAGGCAAAGGAGGAAAAGTTCGTTCAAAAGCAAAGAGTCGATCAATGAGAGCAGGATTGGCATTTCCTGTTGGTCGAATTCATCGTTTGTTGAAGAAGGGCAATTATTCTGAACGTGTTGGTGCTGGTAAGTTCAATTAACATATTTTGTTTTGAGTAAATCAAGTTTTAATGATTTTAATTAAGGTGCTCCTGTCTATCTTGCTGCTGTATTGGAATATTTGACAGCAGAAATCTTGGAATTGGCAGGAAATGCAGCACGTGATAACAAGAAATCTAGAATCATCCCACGTCATCTTCAGTTGGCTATTAAGAATGACGAAGAATTGAATAAGTTGTTGACTGGAGTTACAATCTCGCAAGGAGGTGTCTTGCCAAACATCCATTCAGTTTTGTTGCCCAAGAAGACTACAAAACGTAACAATGATGAATAATTGAGGAACATTGATTATCAAAACTATAATAAAGACGTAGCATTTAAGACATTTAGTAATTTTTGAAGAGAAATAAAAAATAAGGTCGTTATATAAAGAATAATTAAATGCATTTAAGTTTATTTTGCTTGCTTTTCAGGAACATTGGACTTAAAAATAATTAAGTAGTTTAAAAATTTTATAGCATCTCGAGGGGAACGCAACTATGAAGAATAGTTTTCAAATACTAAATGATCGTTAATTTTCAGTAAACAAAAAAGCGTGGTGTAAATATGGTTTTAAGCAAGCCCGTATCGCTAGACATTGACTGGAAGATTCATAATGTGGAAAAGGAACGTCTAAATGAAGGAAAATCAGTGTCATCGAATGTCTTTGAGATAACTTTCGACGAAAGAGATACAAAATGGTAAAATAATGATTATTTAATTTACTTATTGTGCAAATAAAGTCAATATCTTTTAGGTATTTCATTGCAAGAGTTGAAGATTCTAATCTTGGAGTTTATCTTCACATGCAAGAACCAAGAACTACTGGATTTTCAACAAAATGTGAAATTTTCGTTCGTACTTTAATTAATGAAAAGGAGAAGATTTGTCAATTTGAAAGAGATTACAGTACATTTGAAGGTGGACGAGGATGGAAGAATTTGATTTCAGTTTCTGAATTGACCGAAAAATCATCTAAATACATTAAAAATGGAACTTTAAGAATCGGAGCAAAGGTAAATTATAGTTTTAAGGAACAAATTTATGTCATTAATCAATTCATGTTACAGATTGAGCTCATAAAAGCTGATGACAATGACAATAAACCATCAACAAGTGCCTGTGAGCATAATTCAATATTTGAGCATTTCTACAACTCAAAAATCTTCAGTGACTTAACAATCGTCTGTTCTGACAATATTGAGATTCAGGCACATCGATTTGCTCTTGTTTTTTGCTCACCTGTCATGAAAAAAATGGCAGAAGTAGACTTCAGTAGCATAATAAAGGTTGAAGACATCGATAGTGTTGCAATGACTGAGATTTTACGGTACATTTATATTAAAGCTGTTAATGGCATCGATAAATTGGCACCAAAATTAATTTATGGAGCTGTAAAGTATGAACTAAATGGATTAAAGGAGCTTTGTATAACTGCAATGACCGATAATTTGTCTATTGAGAATGCTGTTGATTCTTTCTTGCTGGCTGATCAATATGATGCTAAAGAATTGCTTGATCGTAGCATTGAGTTCATAAAAGAGTAAACATTAATCTTTTAAGCCATTGAATGTTTAATAAATCGTTTTATGTTTCAGAAATCATCAATTATTGATTGAAAATGCAGAGGATTGGGACAAGTTAAAAAAGAAGCATTTAAATATGCTTTTAGGACATTATAAGCAGAAACCGGAAAAAGTTTTGATACTCGTTTCATCATTCCATAAGTTTTAAAGTTCAGCTCAAGTTTCTTTTTTGTTAAGCTTTCAATCAATGTAAATTTACATTCTATTCAGTCACAATAAAACTTAAAATTTAAGAATCTAACGTATTTTATAATTTCAAACAAAAACTATAGAAACTGAGGGGTACAAAACTTTGAAAAAATCCAAATAGAAAATTACCGTTATCAGTTTTGTGATGACATGCTTTAAAATATGAATTTTATGTGCAGACGTTAAGCTTTGAAAATGATAGATGTAATTCTGTAAACGACTGCTGTATATTTAATGATTATGGCTAAAACCTTTTAGCAACAATGATCAAAAACCTGTCAGTTAAAAACGCTGTAGGTTACTTTCTGATCAATACAGTATTAAGGATTTGGAACAAATTTATATCCTTGTGTCTTGATAGCTCTTTTTAAAAAGTAAAGTGACAAATTCTTTAAAATAAAATTAAATTCTTCCTTATAAAACCACACAAATTATTTCAAGTTTTCAACAGTTCTTTGGAATTTATATGGTTCTGATTTTCGAAATGAACTGAACAATAAGCATCAAATCCTGAAAGTTAATTAATTAAAGCCACAAATATTAAGTTCTAAAGTAAATTTTTATTGAAAGAAATCGTTTATGCTGTTATACAGTTTAATATAATGTATCTTAATTTTAAGTCAACTTAATTACAGGATCTTCTCATTTTTTAAGCTCGTTCTCCACGAATTCGTCGTGCCAATTGAACATCCTTTGGCATAATTGTTACACGCTTTGCATGTATGGCACACAAGTTTGTGTCTTCAAACAATCCAACCAAATAAGCTTCTGTTGCTTCCTGTAAGGCCATTATAGCAGATGATTGGAAACGTAAATCAGTCTTATAATCCTGTGCAATTTCACGAACCAATCGTTGGAATGGAAGTTTGCGCATCAACAATTCTGTTGATTTTTGATAACGTCTAATTTCACGCAATGCTACAGTTCCTGGACGGAAACGATGTGGCTTCTTAACTCCACCAGTATTCATTGGGCCCTTACGTGCTGCTGTGACTGGAACTACTTTCTTTCTTGGTGCTTTGCCGCCTGTTGATTTACGTGCTGTTTGCTTTGTACGAGCCATCTTTTTATTGTTTTTTACAAGAACTTGATGTTTACTCTTAAACCTTTAAAATCAAACTGAAATTTTGTTTGAAATTGCTGGTTCTTATATAGCAAAAAATATCTATGAATGTGTAAGTGAGTGTAAACAATGGACGGTTTTTGGATTGTAAGTTGTGTCTTAATTAATGGATATTTTGTCAATATAAGAATTGAAAGGGATTAAACAATGAACATACAGTGGAAGAAGGGCTGTTGAAGAACCTGAATTTGTGAATTAAGGTGGATATTTGATGATAAAATGATAGTTTTGAATGTGTTGGTGCGTATTTTCAAAACAACAACTTACAAGCTTTTTTCTGGCTTTATCAAGCTCAACAAAATAATTAATCGTATTATTTAAAATATGATTGGCAATTCACAAACATACATTTGAGATCAATTGAGGATTTTAAGATATAACATTAAAATTTTGACATGAAAGCGTGTGACAAAAATTGAGCACAAACAAGAAGATTGTAAAATAAATGCATCAGAAAGGAAGTCTGAAAGATTCTCCTCCGATCTAATTAGGTTAATGTGCTGCATTTCATGAATTAGTGTAGTTTTTTTAAGATTTGTAATTTCTTTTCGTATTTCTGTCAGCCATTTTGAATCTTTGGCATATCCACCATTGTGGATTATTTTTCTATAAAAGTCGTGCAACTTAAGCAGATTTTTTCATTCAGTTTTCGGACTTTAAAGTGATAACATCAAACATTATCAAGACATTAAAAAACAGGTTTTTATAACAAAATGGCAAAATCAAAGGGAACAAAATCTAAAGCTGCATTGGCAAGAGAAGCATCTTCTACATCAAAAGGCAAGCGAGTCTATAAGCGCAAACAAAAGGAATCGTATGGACGATTCATCTATAAAGTATTGCGACAAATTCATCCGGATGCAGGAATCTCTGCTAAAGCTATGAGCATCATGAACAGCTTCGTTATTGACATATTTGAAAGACTAGCAGGAGAAGCTTCACGTCTTGCACAACACATGAAGCGTCCAACATTAATTAGTCGTGACATTCAATCGAGTGTTAATTTAATTGTACCAGGTGAATTAGCTAAGCATGCAATCTCTGAAGGTGTTAAGGCTGTGACCAAATATACATCAACATTGACACGGAATTAAATCTACAACTTTACATATCAAAACGATCTTTTTGAAGACCAAAAATTTTAAATTAATTAAAGGAAGAATTCTTTAAGTTTCGACCAAATTATTTTATTATTAATCAACAAAGTTATAAATTCCTCTTAATTTCAGCAACAATTTTTGGATCACAATCGTCAATATTCGACAGGACGTTTATAATGTCTGAAAAACATCGTTAAAAAAAAAACATTTGTAGGGTTCTCAAATTTTTCAAACCAGAAAAAACCGTTAAATTTTTCATTCCATAGGAACTAGATATTAGTTTCTCGTAAGCCTACAACTCACCATCTAGATTATACAGCATAAATTCCTGTTGATTCTCTGTTTTATTATTTTCGTCATCAATATCATAGTCATGCTCAGTGTTCTTAGCTGTTTTCCATGACAAGTAAATGTACTTCTTAACATTCTCATAAACAGCATGCTGAATAACTATGTGATCTATCTCTGTAAGTCCAACATGAATGATTAGACGTTCTCTTGGTAAATTTTCAATTATTAAAGTTGCAGCTTGAAAGATAAAGTCATTTGTAAAGCCATAACAGCATGAAATGTCAATGAACTTTAAGGATCTGATGTTGAACAGCCTTAAAACATTTTCAGCAGATAGATGGGAACATCCAGCAATGTGAATTTCCTCAAGATGTTCCATATTCACAAGATAGTCAATCAAGTCATCAGAAACTGCTGTTTTAAAGTTCATAATCAACTTCCTTAATTTTTTCATTGTACTGATTGCATAGATAGTTGTTAGTGTCAAGTTCCCATAAGATATGTCTAAAATTTCAATGGAATTGTTCAAATTTATGGTTCTTAAAAGCTGGTCACATGGTGGATAATTTAGGTTATGAATAGACAGTTCCTTTAAATTGATCATACTATTAATATTAGGGATAACAAATCTGGATGTATCTTCGTCCACATAATAATTATTAAGAGTAATAGAAGTTAATTGCTGTGCATTAATAAGCATTTCGTTTAGTGCTCGTCCATAAATGTTTGGACATCTTCCAATGTTTAATGACAATAAATTTTTATTGCCTTTGGTGTAAGGAATAAGATGCCGTCCATTAATATTTCTACATCCAGAAATGTCAAGCTTGTTGAGAAACAGAACATTTTCAAGGAAATCTCCAATCACGTTGCTATTTGAGACATTCAATGACTTTAAATTGATAATTTTAGACTTTTTGAAGCAGTTCATAAAACTTTCATGTATTAAGCTATTGTCACTAAGATCCAATGTCTCTAAACTTAACAAAATCTTCTTCATTTGACACCAAAATTCTTTGCTATCAAGCCTGAATCCAACAAGCTTTAAATGCTTAACATTCAAAAAATATTTAGGTATTAAGCTTAATATCCTTTGATTATTAAACTTTTCACTGTCAATTGTCAATCGAGTGACATTCTTGCCAACTTTTTCACATATTAGTTTTGCTTCCAAAAGAGTCATTCGCTTAAATCCAGTCACAGTTGTCAGACTTAAAGTCTTTATCGTACGAAAATAGTAGTCAGCAAGGTCATGAAATTTGCTACAAACTTTTTTCAACATAAATACATCATTTGGTTCTAGGAAGGACATGACATGCAACAAGCAATCATCGTCGAGGATCGATAAAATTTCTGATTCATTATTGTCGATTTTTTCATTGACATTGAGCATGAGTGTATATCCAATATAGTCTGGTTGCAGCCAAGTGTCTGCAGCATTAATATGGAAGTATTCTTGGAAATTCTTCCGACTTAAAAGTGCTTTTGTTGCGTCACAGCATCTTTTGTATGTCACATACCCGCGATTCTTCATTCTGACTCTTTCATGTCCAATATTAATCCTCATGTCCACTATTTCTCCGTAGATTGCCATCAAGTACCTTACTTCCTCGATTTTTATTGTTGGATCTAGAATTTTGATGAAAATTTTCCGGATGTTCATACCGTCCTCAGTTTTGAGGCAATACAGGTTCGATCCCTTTTCAATCGCATCTAGGAAGAATCGGTAAGTTAAAGTAATGTCTATAAATCTGTAAAGCTACCTGTAAGCTTCTTGTGGAGCTGAATAAATTTATAATTTGGATGGAAACGAAACATTTTATCCACAAAAAAGCTATTAAATTTGCCCTCTGAACAGCTGGAACTGCTGAAAAATATATGAGCAACTGAGGTATTTACGTTTCAGACTAGAAAGAACTTAATGCTGTTGCCAGGAGACATCAATAATGTTTAATTATTTGATATTGCGCTTTGTGATACAAAATATTCATTTTTATTTCATTAATTATAATACAATAAGTTATGTGCAATAAATCACAATTTATTTGGAGCTTTTTAAAGCCATAAAGTTCATTCGTTAGGGTAATTAAAATAGTTCTGCAGAATAGCAAAAAGTCCGTTACAAAATAATTCATATTTCGAAACCATTCAAATTACAAAAATAATTTGTGTGGTTTTCAAAAATTCAAAAAATATTTAACGACTTTTTCAAATAAAGTCAATTTCAAACTGTCAATTCCATTAAAAACGCTTAAAGCTTCTTATTGTTCCTTTTCAATTTGTAGCTTTGCTGAGGATTTAAGTTTGAGGAAAAATGGTGCTTCCTGATTTGGTAAAAATGTACTTGGACGAATAAGATACTTCCCAGCACTCAAATTCTCAAGATCCAGAACACAAAACCCACTTCTGAAATTGTCTGTTGTCTTACTTATAAATGGTGCAGTTAGTGATGAATCATCAAGTTCCTTAACAGTCAATTCTAGTCCAACTTGAAAAACTTTTGGTGCTCTCAATTCAACAGCTAAATTTCCATCATTAGCTAATGTCACTTTGTATAGTGGATTGTTCCTGTATGTCTTATGATTCTGACATCCACCAGCCGTTGAATTTGATGAGTTCCATTCACCAGTGACTTGAAGATTTGTCGTTAAATAAGTATCAAGCGATTTAAGCTCAAATGGCTCACGGCAGTAAGCACGTAATGTATAAAATATAGTCGTAGTCTTTTCATACTGAGACACAACTAGCGTATACTTCCTAGCTGCATTTGGATCAAGTCTAATCTTACAGAGATAATGTGGACTATTAATACGAATGCCATCAATATAAGGTGCTGGATCATGTGGATAATAAATACGCTTGCCATTCTTATGCTGATAGACTAGCAATGTTATGTATTCCTTATTTTCACGAAAGTCCTCAATACTTGTAATATGTCTTGTAAGTAGGACATAAACTGATCCACGACCTTGAGGAACTGCCAATGAGAATTGTGGATTGTCACCAATTGTATATGCATCCTTAACAGGCCCAATGCCTGATTGCCACATCTTATGAGTACAGTAAGTGTATTTAAATAATTCTGGGTCCCAATTTAAATAAAATACATCAAAAAAGTTTAACAATGAATAATAGTCTATCCAAAAGATTCCATTATCAATTGACTGTGCCATTTTTGGATCATAATTAAGTATCCTCTGCAGTTCCGGTGTCCATCGACTGTCTTGTTCTGAATAATTTCCTTTCCATCGTAAGTGACTCCAAGGATTTTTTAACATTAAAAGCTTCACGCCATCAACTTCTGCCATATTAATTACAGCAAAAGCATGAGTGCTAACAAGTCCAGTTCTATCGCATTCAGCATCTGATAATTCACCAGTTGCGACTGTAATTAAACAACGTCCTTGATGAAAGCCTTCCTTTAATCTATCAAATACTTGATTGCCATTAAAATCTGGATCATTCTTTTTTATTGATATCCTTTCAGGAATCCATCCAGTCAGTGCATAAGCATCAATATTTGAGTTGCTACCTGGGAAGTCATAGCCGTTCATAAGCTTCATGTACGCTTTTTCAAGTACACTGACCCAAAATTCATTTTTATTATTCGAGTAGCTGCACAGGAGCTGATTATGACGTCCAACGGGCAAATAGTCATCAATAACAATCTTCCTGGCAATGCCATTAACATATAGTTTAATTAAATACTTGCCACTTTGATTATAGACAGGCTCATCCTTGGAATTTCGTGGATATATGATAGATGTAAGGATTCGACGGTTAAATTTCTTTTCATGCAATGCAGCAACAGTTAATGATGATACGAATGAGCAGTCAGATACAACCGTTTGTTTAATAGCATGATAGTCTGGATTAGTTCCAATAATAATCTCTGGTTGTTGACATAATTCGCTAATTCTCATCCATTGAACAAATTCTTTCTTCTGCTTTGGTGACAACTCTAAAATGCCATCCTTATCAGAAAATGGAATTGGAAAGTTAAATCGCTCTTTAGCATCAATCTCCATAAATGGGACATAAACTTTAGCATTAATTGTGGACGTTTTTTCTAAAACCTTCTTCTCTTCCATTGTATATCCTTCCTTTGATGTCACTTCCAATTTTGGTGAATGTGTTGGTACTGTAGGTACCGTCTTATTTGGTGCATTTGTTGTTGGCGATGAGGCACTTTGTGTTTGAATGCTTTTCTTGCCTGACTCTTTTGGCGATTCATTTTTTTTAATTCCTTTTAGTTCCTCTGCTCGATCGAGTGCTTGTCGTGCAAATTTGTTCATCTTCTCACGCTTCTCTTTATCTTCAATGCTTAAAATAAGCTCTACAGCCATTGTATAGTAATGAATAGCTTGTTCCTGAAAATAATATTTTGATGATTCATGGAAATGACTAATTAAGTGAATTTTTACCTTGTCTCCACGTTCATCGTAATCTAGAGCCTTCATCAATACTTTGTGACAATTTACATCAGCCATGATAATAAATTAATTATATAAAATGCCAGGAACTTGATTTTTTAACAATTTATTTACTGTAAACAACAATTTTATTTCCAAAGTTACAAAAACAAAAATAAATTTCTTAACATATTTTTAACAGCTTTTTAAAATTTGAAATGTTCATGAGCGAAAGAGATAAAAGATCCAGCTCAGAAACGACTTAAAAACAGATTTTGACCAGCAAAACATAAAATTACATGACAATTATTCACCAAACATTATTTAATGTCGGGATGCATAAGATTTTCTTGATGTGATGCTTCAAACAAACTTGTAGACCTTTTCCCTTCTATTATTGCATGCTGAAGTAAACCACCAACTAAAATCAATCGAATAGAAGCCTCAATATCACGAACCAATAATGTTTTACGTTTACTCAGGCTCACTAAATCACTCGCTTGACGAGCTATTCTCAAAAATATATCCATGATAAAATCATCCAAAATGGCTATAGTTTTGAATGCAAGCTGCTTTTCAGGCCAGTATTTTCTTAAAAGTCGATGCAAGTATCGTCGATACGAATCATTGCGTTTTTTAATTCGAGTTAAACGTCTCTTATTATTATGATTATTATTTATTGTTGAATTGGCTCCTTGAAAATTGGCAAATTCTGAATATCCAAACATGCTGGCTCGACTGATTACTTTTCAATGTCCTTACTGCACGACGAATAGCAAGTGAATGATTCGAATCTTAAATGCTGACTGGACAGTCAGTCAAACCTGCATTTTATCGAAATATAGGCTTAGAAACCTTACAATTCCTTCAAAATCTTTATGAAATTTGAATTATATTTTAACTGATTTTCATAAGCTTTTCTGTAATTAAGATATTTTAAAGATAGCAAGGAACAACCAATTTAACAAAAAAAGTAATGCAGTAGCTTTATTTCTTCATATTCTTACAATAATAAAATCACTAAGGATTAATAGAGATGTCAGAATAAATGTCGAGACTTGCTTTATGCCTTAAAATGATGATTCAAATATGATGATGTCGCTCCCATTTTCGTGATAATAATCCAAAAGGACATTTAAATGTTTTTTGTCCAATTTATCCCATTCATGTTTGTTCTGTACCAAAACTTTGTGGTTTCTAAGGAATACCAATAGTTAGAAATTGTTCCATAAAGCTAGATTAATGCTTACTTACGTTTTAATAAAGTTAATGCAACAATCCAGTAAATCCTTCATATCGAATTTATCAGCCAGCAGGAAATATTCAATTGCATTTTTAAAAGATATATTTTTGGCGACTGTTTCTTTGCAAAGCTTCGTCAGTTCATCTAATTCATACTTTATAGCTCCATAAATCAGTTTTGGTGCAAAATCATCAATGTCATTTACTTCGTCAGTATAAATGTATCGTAAAATCTCAGTCATTGTTTCACTATCGATGTCATCAACTTCAATTATGCTGTTTGGTCCAAGGTTAATCATATTCTTTAAAACGGACGAAGAAGCAAATATAGCAAATCGATGTGCCTGAATTTCGATACCGTCAGAACATAGGAATGTCATGTCAGTGAACAACTTTTCATCGAAATAAATCTTGAACGTTTCATTAAGTTTGAAATATGTTATGGATGAATTGTTGACATCATCTTCAACTGCATTTATGAGTTCAATCTAAGATGATGAGGCATTAATATAGGACTAGTTAATATAATTAAAATTACCTTTGTGCCAATTGACAAAGTTCCATTATTGAGATATTCATGAGGATTCTCAAATAAATCAGTAAGAGAAATCAGAGACTTCCATCCCCATCCAGAGTAATTTATCATGGAATAATCTTTTATAAACTTAAGATTTATTTCCTTATCATTGCTAATCGCTGGAATGTAAATTTCAAGCTTAGTTAAAAATCCAGTGGCTTTGGGTCTTTGCATGTGCAAATAGAATGCAATCTTTGAGTTTTTAATTGATGCCAAAAAATACCTACAAATAGATAAAATATTACATTAAGTTATTTAAATAATCTAATTTTATTTACCATTTTGTGGCTTTTTTATCGATAATAATTTCGAATGTATTTGATTGCAACTTTTTTCCTTCTTTTAAGCGTTTTTCAACTACATTATAAATCTTCCATTCAATACTACGCGATGATGACTTATTTAAATCCATTATTTATGGATCTTTTTCAATTAAGTGCTATAGTATCGAAGTCAAAAAGATGAATGAAAATATTTGCTATAAAGTTGGACTATTTATAGCAAAAAAAGCAAGATGGAGGACCGAGAACAATAGAAATCAAATATCATCAAATATCCACCTTAATTCACAAATTCGGGTTCTTTAACAGCTCAACTTCCACTGTTTATTCATTGTTTAATCCTTTTCAGATCTTATATTGACAAAATATATATTAATTAAGCCACAACTTACAATCCAAAAACCTTCCATTGTTTACACTCACTTACACATTCATAGATATTTTTATCTATATAAGAACCAATAAGAACGAGCAATTTCAAACATAATTTCAGTATCATTTTAAATGTTAAAGGTTAAAGAGAAACATCAAGTTTTGTAGAAACAATAAAAAGATGGCTCGTACAAAGCAAACAGCACGTAAATCAACAGGCGGCAAAGCATCAAGAAAGAAAGTCACAGCAGCACATAAGACAGCATTGGATGCTGTTGGAATTAAGAATTGTTGATGCGCAAACTTCCATTCCAACGATTGGTTCGTGAAATTGCACAGGATTATAAGACTGATTTACGTTTCCAATCATCTGCTATAATGGCCTTACAGGAAGCAACAGAAGCTTATTTGGTTGGATTGTTTGAGGACACAAACTTATGTGCCATACATGCAAAGCGTGTAACAATTATGCCAAAGGATGTTCAATTGGCACGACGAATTCGTGGAGAACGAGCTTAAAAAATGAGAAGATCCTGTAATTAAGTTGACTTAAAATTAAGATACATTATATTAAACTGTATAACAGCATAAACGATTTCTTTCAATAAAAATTTACTTTAGAACTTAATATTTGTGGCTTTAATTAATTAACTTTCAGGATTTGATGCTTATTATTCAGTTCATTTCGAAAATCAGAACCATATAAATTCCAAAGAACTGTTGAAAACTTGAAATAATTTGTGTGGTTTTATAAGGAAAAATTTAATTTTATTTTAAAGAATTTGTCACTTTAATTTTTAAAAAGAGCTATCAAGACACAAGGATATAAATTTGTTCCAAATCCTTAATACTGTATTGATCAGAAAGTAACCTACAGCGTTTTTAACTGACAGGTTTTTGATCATTGTTGCTAAAAGGTTTTAGCCATAATCATTAAATATACAGCAGTCGTTTACAGAATTACGACATCTATCATTTTCATAGCTTAACGTCTGCACATAAAATTCATATTTTAATGCATGTCATCACAAAACACAAAACTGATAAGGGGCCATTCACTTATTACGTAACGCTTTTAGGGGGGGAGGGGGGTCTAAGATTTTGTTACGGTTCAAACAAGGAAATTTTTTTTTCATACAAATTTTGTTACGAGGGGGGGGGGGGGGGGGGTCTACAAAGTCATTTTTTCGCGTTACGTAATAAGTGAACAGCCCTTAACGGTAATTTTCTATTTGGATTTTTTCAAAGTTTTGTACCCCTCAGTTTCTATAATTTTTGTTTGAAATTATAAAATACGTTAGATTCTTAAATTTTAAGTTTTATTGTGACTGAATAGAATGTAAATTTACATTGATTGAAAGCTTAACAAAAAAGAAACTTGAGCTGAACTTTAAAACTTATGGAATGATGAAACGAGTATCAAAACTTTTTCCGGTTTCTGCTTATAATGTCCTAAAAGCATATTTAAATGCTTCTTTTTTAACTTGTCCCAATCCTCTGCATTTTCAATCAATAATTGATGATTTCTGAAACATAAAACGATTTATTAAACATTCAATGGCTTAAAAGATTAATGTTTACTCTTTTATGAACTCAATGCCACGATCAAGCAATTCTTTAGCATCATATTGATAAGCCAGTAAAAAAGAATCAACAGCATTCTCAATAGACAAATTATCGATCATTGTAGTTATACGAAGCTCCTTTAATCTATTTAGTCCATAAACCAATTTTGGTGCCAATTCATTTCTTTAGTATAAATGTACCGCAAAATTTCAATCATTTCTTCGCTATTTATATCGCTGATTTTAATTATCAAGGTTCTTATATCAATCATATCTTTTAAAATGGATGATGCAGCAGCAATAGCAAATCGATTTGCCTTAATTTCAATACCGTCAGAACAAACATGTCTCGAATAATAAAAATGAATTATAATTTGTTCCCTTTTTGTCAAACTGATTTATTAGGATATATGCTGAAAACTGTAAATTTAATAAAAAAAAGATAGGATTCCTTTAAACTAATTTGTTTTATTGTGATCCATAAATTGAAACTAATCTTTATGTAAGCTTAATGATTCTATTATAAACTTAATTGTTCCTCGTTAATATCCAGCTTTCTTAAGTTAACCTCCAAAACCATACAATGTTCGTCCTTGTCGTTTGAGTGCATAAACTACGTCCATAGCTGTTACCGTCTTTCGTTTAGCATGTTCTGTATAAGTCACAGAATCACGAATGACATTTTCCAAAAAGATCTTTAATACTCCACGTACTTCCTCATAAATTAATCCAGAAATACGTTTAACTCCACCACGTCTTGCTAATCGACGAATTGCAGGCTTCGTTATTCCTTGAATGTTATCACGTAGAACCTTACGATGTCTCTTAGCTCCTCCCTTTCCTAGTCCTTTACCTCCTTTACCTCGTCCTGTCATGATTTTAACTATTTACTTTATTATTTTTGATAAGATGTTTACTGTCTGAAGTCCGAAAACTGAATGATAAATTGTTTGGAATCGTCGGTTCTTTTATACAGAAGTTGTGAGAGTGTATTAGTGAGTGTAAAACAATAGATAAAGTTTAGACAAAATTTTGCTTTAATTAACAGTATTAACTTAGGGAGAACTCTTGTAAATGATAGCTTATCTTTTATACTCCATGAATAATTAAACTACATTTCTCAAAGAGTTGTCTAACTGCTCAAAATCTGAAAACAATAAAAATGTAAATGTATTGGTGTACAGCATGGTAAAAAAATGGAAAGTATTTATTGCCAAAATAAGTCTTAATTCAGCATAGGCATGTGAGTAAATGCAGTTTACTGGTAAGAATAATGATGATCCAGTAGCTATTGAAAGCTATTAAGCACTTAAATCAGCATAAAAAATTATTTCAATACAAAAATATTTATTTATGAATTTTATTAATTCCATTACAATTTTGAGGGATTGAAAGCAAGAATTTTAATGATTGAGACACAAAGAAGCCTTTCTAGTAGATCCTATAATGCAATAGACTAAATTAATCAATAATTTTTATTGTTGTCTTTCTGGATCTTCCATACTTGATTTTTGCTATAAATTTGCTATAAAGTACCAAAGATTGGAAGAAATCTTATTATAATTCGTGACATCAAGCATTAAACATTGTGTTCGTAAAAAGTAAAGTTAAAGTAAATAAAAATGGCATCAAAAGACGTAAAACTTTATCAAAATCGTTCGAAATCAAACAGAGCAGGATTGACATTTCCAGTTAGTCGTATTCATCGTTTATTGAGAAAAGGAAATTATGCAGAACGCATTGGAACTGGTAAGTACAAAAACATAAATAATTCAACAATAAAAAGATCATCAAAACTTTTATCTATTAAGGCGCTCCTGTCTATTTGGCTGCAGTTTTGGAGTATTTAGTAGCTGAAATCTTGGAATTAGCAGGAAATGCAGCACGTGACAATGAAAAGACCAGAATTGTGCCTCGTCATCTTCAATTGGCTATTCGAAACGATGAAGAACTCAACAAATTATTGGGAAATGTTACAATTTCTGAAGGAGGCGTTTTGCCAAACATTCAAGCAGTTTTATTACCAAAGAAGACAACAAAGCATGCAAAAGAGGAAAATTAAGGCGTTTAGGATATAAAAGTTTTATTTTAATTGTTTCGTACTTTTAATTTTGTTATTCTCGTTCAAATTTGTGGAAATAAATTTAAATTTTGTGTAGATTATGCTTTAATTTGCCTGTTTCTCTTTAATTTTTTTAATTACATTCAGAGAATGCATTTTCATTGGAGCTTCAACTGTCAAGAATATGTCAAAGTTGGAAGATCCAGGGATGATTTCAGAATTTTTAAAATATCAATTACCAGACATAAGTATTGCTTTAAAAGTATTAAATCTACAAGATTTCAGTTCTTTGTAAGATTGCATGACATCCAGTGCAGTAAATTTAATAAATTAAATCTTAAAATGACAATCTTTTCAATTTGACACTTCAAGTCGATTTTTAAGCATTGAATTCATATGCCGCCATTTTGTTTTTTCCATCATTTGCTTTAAAATTTCGACTATAAAAGAAGTCGCAAAACCCCAAAATTTGCATTCATAATTTTGACTTTAACGAGTTCACATCGTTCAAAAAACAAAGTTCAATTTAAAACAAAATGGCAAAAGGTAAAGGAACAATTAAAGCTAAGGCTCCAAAAGTAAAGGAAGTAGTTGCTGGAAAGGAAAAAAAGTTGCGTCGTCATAAACGAAAGGAATCATTTGCAATTTACATCTTTAAAGTATTGCGACAAGTTCATCCAGACACGGGAATTTCATCGAAAGCTATGAGCATAATGAACAGCTTTGTCAATGACTTATTTGAAAGACTGGCTGGGGAAGCTTCACGTTTGGGGCAACATAATCATCGTGCAACAATGTCAAGTCGTGAGATCCAAACAAGCGTTCGTTTATTATTGCCAGGAGAATTATCTAAACATGCTGTCTCGGAAGGAACTAAAGCTGTAACAAAATACACATCAACAATGGGCCATTAATATTTTTTTATTATTTCTGTAATACTGCTTTAAACTGATTAAATAAACTACATTCTTTTTCAAGACTTTGAAAAGTATCAAAATTGGACATTCTCACTTATTTCAGCAAGTCAATTCAGTTTAATGCATTGTTGAACCCTGCCAGAGCTTGCATATTGCCGCGAAAATCTCATTAATGAATTAATTAAGAAGAAAATGATCTCTAGACTATAATTAAATTAATAAAGCACAATATCCAAAGACGCGTCAATTCTTTCCACAAAATGAAAAGTAGCATTTCGTCAATTAGGCATATCTATCGAAAAACAAACAAGTGCATCCATAAATACGTTAATTCATCACTTATGCTTCGTACATACATAGATAGTCAAAGCACAGCACATTTATATGTGTGTATCAAATCACACAACAGTCTTTGACTGTATTTTTATCAGGCACACTCAAATACATCCTCAACTTCTTGTTACTACACATTCTAGTGCTGATGACGACTTAGTTTATTTTGTTGTATTTTATTTTACGCTCAGTCAGTTTCTTCTTTCTTGTTCTTGTGATCAGTTTGAAATTTGTAATCTCGAGAGGTAAATTATTGAGATCCAGTGATACTTTGGTGCCATTGCTTTTAATAAATTTTTTTGTTTTGTGGAAATTGAAAGTCATTACTGGATGTTAAATTTATTAATTATAGCATAGAGAAATGCTTTATTTATGCAACAACAGAAGCGATTCATTGTTTTATGCCTCTTAGCATAACTATTCATAATGTTATTGGGCTTATTCGGGTGTGGTGCTGACTATTGCTTCTCGTAATTGAATATTCATCATATTACACAAGCTAGATATTTGTGTGGGAATCGATCTTCATTCAGTCTCAATCTAAATGAAAATTTTCGCAATTTAAAAACAGCATTAAGCGAGGCAGGCAAGGCATGAAGAAGAAATGTCAATAAAAATATCATCTATTAGCATGAGAATCTTCATAGATATGGCATAGTGTTTACCGTTATCGTTAAACATTCACTGTTTGGTTATCACAGATTCCCTTAAATAATATGAACTAGAAATTTGTGCTACAATACGCGCGCGATGGGCAGCATTCATTTAAGTAATGAAGAATATGCTTTAAAGAAGAAATGGTGAAAAGATTCTTGATTGTTTGTGGATGGAGCGACTTTAGATCATTGTTGCTGTCAATTTATTCAATTAACATTTATTGGTACTTCCTGTGGGTTTATTATAAAGAAAATTTATATCTGCTGGATGTTTGATCTCTGGATCTTTTTAACGGAGATTTTAAATTCAAATTCAGTTCAAAAAAGATCCATTTTTCAAATTCCAAAAATACGTTGAAAGTTTTTGTTTGTGAATGTTATGTTTGAAACCGTGTTCGAAAATTTTAATAAATACAGTGTCTAAAATGATATCAGCAGATTTAATGAATGCAGGTTCACGTAAATGCTACCTCAAACCAACTAGAAAATATAAAATAAAGCTAGTCAGATCGGAATCAACACCGCCAGTCGTGAAAAAACAAAACGGTAACAAAAAATACACAATGTGCTGTAAAAGGAACTTACTAGAAAAGAAAAGCAGCATAAAATGAAAGATGTTTTGCTATATGAAGATCACTTGATAAAAAGAACAAGTGGATATGCTGTTTCTGATCATATTTCCATATGTTTTATGTTAGTGCTGTTAATGTTTTTAAAGGGCATTGATTCTCGGTCCCTAAACAGCTTTATGCTTCTGTTTCCAAAATTAGTTCAATGATATTTCATAATGGAACATAATCTAGTCATAAATTAATGTATTTTCTAACATAAAAATGAGAATTTTGTGTTCTTTTGTTTGATTGTTAATGCCTAGCCGAAAATGAGCTTAGTTACATGCACAGACAAGGATTTTATAGCCAAGATAATAGTGCATTGTACAAATAATTGATCGTGACAGAATACAATTCAAAAAAATCGACAATTCTAATGTAATTAAGCTAGTATATGCTTAGAATACTAATCTGCAGCTAGTTTACGCCTTTTAAAAATTAAAAACACAGTACAGAATCGAAACCATAATAGCCAAAACAGTTAGCATTAAAATTCAATGGAAAATCTTTTTGCAGCACATCACCATAACTGGCAATCTGCATTCTTTCAAGCCTATAAGTTCATGAAAACTAATTTTTACAATCAAGGTTTCGTCATAAAATAAACTTTCTTTCGAGACATTTATCTATTCTGCTTGCTAGATAAAGTACGCGTTTTTTCTTCTATCTTATCAATAATTCGTGACAGTTTAAAGTTTACAGTCTGGATGTATAGAATTACTCATAACTTTTGTTACCTTTTTAGGTCCTAAAATGCCGAAAATTGTGTGGTCTATTATTTGGCTGATTATTTTGATAATCTTTTCATTCTGGATTGCAACGTTCCTTGCATTCTTCTACATCATCCTATTTCCAATCACAGTCTGCATTCCTGATATTAGTGTAAGTATCTTGAGCTTAAATCTAAACTATTGTAGCTGATTCTTTAAATTTTATTAATTCTAGGTCGTCACCGATTTCCTACTAAAATGCATTCAATTCCCGAAATATTGTGCTGAGAACATGATGGCTGGAACAGCACTTTTCTAACATTAATATCATTAACTGTGTAAAATTAGATGCTTCAATAAATTCGTCCTATAAACTCAATGCAATCATTATTGACATAACTCAATAGCGCACAACATAAAAGTATAAAAAACGGCAGCAACGAAAAGATTTTCTTTAGAAATAAAAGCTAATAATTTGCAAAAAGATGCAATATTAATGTTAAATGATTTTTGTAAAGATTCTTTAATAAAGATTAAATTTTTGTGTCATTAACAATGTTTTAAGGAAGTTTAATTCATTGATGTGCATTTTTAAGGAATTGTAGGGTCAGTTCTTTCCTAACCTCCGAAGAAAGAGGTTGTGGAATTGTGCATTTTTCCAAATTTTAATTAATAACGTATAGGAAACACCTCAATCTAAAAATCCCTTAAATGCAGATAGTACTGCCAAGATGCAGATGGTACTGCTAAAGTGCAGATCAAATTTATTTTCCCTAAGATGCAGATGAAATGCTGTTGCATTAAAAAAGGTATAATGCAGATGATTTTTATCGTATAAAGTGCAGATAAGATGCTGACCAAATGTATATCGCATAATTTTATTAAAATAAAGATGAAATGCTGTTATAATGTAGATAATTTAACGTTGGATACTAATTTTTTGGGCCCCGAAAAAAAAAACATTCGTAAGTGACGCTATGATTTCTTAAATATCTCTAAAACCACAATAGTGACAAATTTCAAAGTTATTTTATCTTGTAGAAAACAAAATTGCTTTCTTTTGACATAGAACTTACTTCCTAAAGTTAAGGAGTTATGTCGGAAAATCACTTTAATAAAGTGACTAGGGTCGCCCCTAGTCCAAAATTGAAAATGTATTTCCAACTTGGTTCTTTGCTCAAAAAAATTTTATGATGTTTTATTTGTATTTGTTTTAAGCACTAGAATTTTTATGCAAATTTTCAATCTATTTGGATAAACCCTCGAAGAAAAAAGTGACAAAATTGATTTTGACTAGGGTCGCCCCTAGTCCAAAATTGAAAATGTATTTCCTTCTTGGTTCTTTGCTCAAAAAAATTTTAGGATGTTTTATTTGTATTTGTTTTAAGCACTAGAATATTTATGCAAAGTTTCAATCCATTTGGATAAACCGTCGAAGAAAAAAGTGACAAAATTGTTTTTGACTAGGGTCGCCCCTAGTCCAAAATTGAAAATGTATTTCCTACTTGGTTCTTTGCTCAAAAAAATTTTAGGATGTTTTATTTGTATTTGTTTTAAGCACTAGAATTTTTATGCAAAGTTTCAATCCATTTGTATAAGCCCTCGAAGAAAAAAGTGACAAAATTGATTTTGACTAGGGTCGCCCCTAGTCCATAATTGAAAATGTATTTCCAACTTGGTTCTTTGCTCGAAAAAATTTTAAAATGTTTTATTTGTATTTGTTTTAAGCACAAGAATATTTATGCAAAGTTTCAATCCATTTGGATAAACCCTCGAAGAAAAAAGTGACAAAATTGATTTTGACTAGGGTCGCCCCTAGTCCAAAATTGAAAATGTATTTCCTACTTGATTGTTTGCTCAAAAAATTTTTTTGGATGTTTTATTTGTATTTGTTTTAAGCACTAGAATATTTATGCAAAGTTTCAATCCATTTGTATAAACCCTCGAAGAAAAAAGTGACAAAATTGATTTTGACTAGGGTCGCCCCTAGTCCAAAATTGAAAATGTATTTCCTACTTGGTTCTTTGCTCAAAAAAATTTTAGGGTGTTTTATTTTTATTTGTTTAAAGCACCAGAATATTTATGCAAAGTTTCAATCCATTTTTAACAGTCGAAGAAAGAAGTGACAAAATTGATTTTGAGAACAATTCTTAAAGTACGATTTTAACTGGTCTAGCAATCTAGTGCGATTTTTTGAGACAATATTATTGGAGATTGAAAAGTTACGTCCAGCTCTTATAGATGTTGGTGGATTCCAGAAATATTAATTTCCAGCACGTTTTTTTTATTTTGGAAAAATTAGGGTAAATGACTTTGAAATTTGCGCAACCTTGAAATTTGCGCACTCGTATGAAAACGAAAATTTTAAAATTATATCTGAAAATTGCACTTCTATTCAGACGATCAATGGGAAATGTCTGCAGAACACAAGCACAGATGTTTTTTCATAATTTTTAGTGGTCTTAAGGCACTAGAAAGCTTAATAATTTATTACTAAAAACTCCCATACAAAACTTAAATTTCTTTACATTTTGATTTTGAGATGCATGCATTGGTATAGATTAAATTTTGGTATCAGAAAATGTAGATCTGACATTGCTTAAAATTTTTCAAATGGTTCCAATTCAAAATGATACCTGGAACTGCTTTAAAATTCATTTTTAAAATGGCTTGTTTTTGAACCTTGAAATTTGCGCAGATTTTATGAAAAATTTTGAAATTTGCGCAGTGAAAAATAAAGGTCCTTACAACTGAAGAAGAAGTCAAAATTGCAAAGTGGTGTATAGATTCAGCCAAATAAGGCGATCCAAAAACTACAGAAGATTTGAAGGAAACTGCTCAAAAATTTAAGGAACTTGAGGATATGAAAGCTCAAAAATGAATTGACCGAGAAAAAAAGAAAGAATTGCGTGACAAAATTATGAATATTAAAAAGGAAAAACATTAAGCATCAACTCAAGTAATCAGGAAACGTGGTCGGCCAAAAAAGGCAATAAAATGAAGATAGCTTTTAGACTTTATACTAAATTTTAAAATTGAATTACTATGCTCGCTATCATTTTGCTTGTTCCTTTTTGAATTTATTATGTGCTTTAGAACTATTTTGAAACCATTTATCTAGTGTTTTTTTCCACGCTGGAATTTACTCCTAATACATCTAAGATTGTCCTGTTGAACATTAAGCTTTCACGGATTTTCACGAAACTAAATCTAATCATATAATTTGGTAATATACATCATCATTTCCCTTATATTTTGATTAATGTATTTTAAAATTGGATATTTTTTTAATAATATTTTTTCCAAGTTTCAATATTGCTGTCAAAAAAGTGCGTAAATTTCAAGGTTTTTTTGCGCAAATTTCAAAGTTTTCTGCGCAAATTTCAAAGTTCAAACTTGAAAGTCAAATTTCTTGGCATTGACACAGCAGAGCTTCCTATATCCATAGAAAAACAAAAATATCAATGATTCCCTGCATTTCAAGATCGTTAGTAGGGCTCAATTTCAATCCTCCGAAGAGCTTGAAGCAAATGAAATTTTCTTGTGTGAATTTGCGCAAATTTCAAGGTCATTTACCCTACTTTAATCCAATGTCAATTAAGTTTATTATTTTATGGACATCGTACATTTAAAAAATATTTTTAAATACTTTTTCTCTTCGTTTTTCATAAATATATGTTTTTAATTTAAAAAACATCAAATTTAAGTTTAATATTTCAACTCTTAAATTCCTTAAGGGGAATTTTACGAGTAAAGGGAACTGAAGAAATTTGCATTGTAAGTTTTCGCTTCTTGCAAAAATTTAATTTTTTTTTATCCGTTATATTTCTTGGATAAAAATATTGTGTTTCTTTTTATAAAGTGTATTTCTCCATTATTGTTACGTTATTCGTTCTTAAAGTGTAAACTTTAAGGCAAAAAGAGGCATGAAAAACTAATTAAAATAAGTTTTTCCATATGTAAAGAATATTACAGAATAAAATTTCAACGGTAATTTAAAATTTAAATTTTTGTAAGCGCTTCAAGCTTAGTCGAAAATATGTAAAATTTCCACCGATTGACACAGTTTTTGACAAATTTTAGCTCAATTAAAGCATTTCTGCTATGTTTTAAGTCAAAGGTTTGTTAAATTTGTGAATTCAAACATTTTTTGGGTAGAGACACAAATCAGAAATGAGTGTTTAGTGAAATATTTAACAAATTAAAGTACATTTTGTAAATTCCACCGATTGACAGTAAAAAAGTTAAAATATCTCCTCATACAGCTATTTATTGCAAACAAGTACTATTCATAATGATAAACATTCCCTTTTTACATAATTTTAATTAATTTAAATGTGTAAAAAGTCAATATTCAAAGTTTTTTTTAATAGAATAAAGAAATTTTGTAATTTTTTTCACTCGTAGAATTGCCCTTAACGTATGTTTTCATTATTATAATTTTTTTCTTAAAATTGTAGTTTTTTTCATGGAAAATACAAAATAAAAAAAAAACTTATTTGAATTGTCGGTTTTTTTTTTGGTATGAAAACGGGAATTTCGGGAATATTCCCGATTTTAGAACCCCTTATGATTGAACATCGTCAAGACAATAAGAAATCGTCAAGACAATTCTTCTGTAGTTTGTCAGTTAAAAAAGTCTATATAAATCCAATTTGTATCAAATATTCATACTATGTGCTTACTTGTGTGTGAACGATGAGTAATTGCTCAAATGTGAAGAAAATAACACAACATATGAAATGTTTTATGATGGCTATAAGTGCTGATCCTTAAAGAACCTAAAATATATGGCAATTTTAAAAACGAATTAGTAAAATAAAAATAAATTTAATTCTTAATTAAGATTTGCTGTTTAAATTAAAGTTTCATGATATCAAATTCACTTTCTCTGTTGGAAATTAGTCAGAAAAACTTTCAAAAAGGCTCACGTAAAGCCTACGTTACGTAAAATGATTAAGTAAAATCACATAACATTAAGTACTATGTTCCGTTCGCTCTTTCTCGATGTAAGTTAAAGATGGAATTCGATGGACAGGTAAGAGAGAAGCTGATGCAAGATGAAGGAGGGATTAAACTGAGAAAGCAAATTTTTTGATGGTTCTTCTTTCAAAGTTAATCATATCAAGTTTAATTTCAACCAAGGAAATGAATCAATCGTGTTTTCATTCCATTACTGCTCACATTTCAGGCTTTGAATCAGAACAGTCCGAGATAGAGGCAAAAACGTTCTTTACCACACACCTGAGCATGAAAAAGAACCACAATTTAGGGTTAGCGTTAGACTCTTGTAATTAAGCTTCTATTGATTACAACCCAAATCATCAGAGGCTCATTTTTCACATTAAACTACACGATACGTCATTGGACCTGATGTAAGTCTAATGCTGTATGTCAGAACAGGCATCTAGACAAAAAATTGCAAGTCTCATTTACGAGCAAGCAATCAATGTCCTTGATGCCACTCTACATCAAGGATGAACCAATCAATAGCCACGATAGTAAGTCTCACAGGCAGAAACACATGACTCATAGGCTCGATTTACAAAAAAAAAAAGAACAGAAAAACTTTTTAAAAAAAGGGTCAAAAGACTTTGCTCCCTCAAGTTTTACCCCTCCTCATCTTGCATCGACCCCCCTCTGACCTATTCAACGACTCCCACTCTTAATTTTCATCAACAAAGGCCGACGAAATGTAAAACTCAATGCAATGCGTTTTTAAGTAATCATTTCACGTATTGCAAGCATTACGTACGCAATTGTAGGAAGTGAAATGGCTGGTTTCATTAAAGAAAAGGAATTTGAGGACTATTTATTAGTATACTTAGCTTTTTCTTCGTTGTCACTAGCCTCTTGCTTCTTTAATTGTGTCCTGGTTCCTTCAAGCTTCATCAATCTCACTTTCACTTCAATTTTACAGCTTCTTGAATTTAATTTTCTTAACTTTCAATGTTCACTCAGAAAATTTTTCATTTTTTTCTTCACTTTTAATTTTTTCATCACTTTTGGCTTATTTTCACTGTTTTTTCCATTTTAGTACTTCACTATCACTTTTATCTTGAACTCCACTTCTTTTTAAGCATTAATAATGTCAAGTTCCAATTTATTTGCACCGATTAACAACAATATTTAAAAATACGTCTTTAAAGAATTAAACTGAAGAAAATTGTGAAAAAATCGAAAGTCAAAGGTTGCTGAGAAATTTGATCTTTTTTGACTGATTGTGATTTCACATTTTTGCGTTAATTAAGGGTGTATTCAGCTCGAAAATTATCAAAAATATATAGTATTAATTCAAAATTTTAAAAACTTTTTATTTAGGTTTTTAAATCAAATTTAAATTCTATTTGATTTGATTGTCAAATTGATTCTTTTGACAATAATTTCCGTTTGAAATTCAATTCTTTTTGGTTTTAGAACAATTCTTAAAGGACGATTTTAACTGGCAATCTAGTGCGATTTTTTGAGACAATATTATTGGAGATTGAAAAGTTACGTCCAGCTCTTATAGATGTTGGTGGATTCCAGAAATATTAATTTCCAGCACGTTTTTTTATTTTGGAAAAATTACTTTAATCCAATGTCAATTAAGTTTATTATTTTATGGACATCATACATTTAAAAAATATTTTTAAATACTTTTTCTCTTCGTTTTTCATAAATATATGTTTTTAATTTAAAAAACATCAAATTTGGTGTCCATCAAGTAGAACGGTTAGGCTAGATAAAAATATTTCGTTTATTTTATTTGTTTAAGAAACATTTGCACAAATTACTGACCAAGTTTGAACAATTTTCGTTAAGCCTTGTCAGATTTACAGTCGAAAGTGTTAAAAGTAAAAAATCGGCCCTAGCTCCGTTTTCAGATGCTCATATCTCAGAACTGGCAACTTCACAAAATTTAAAAAAGTTATTTTTCTGCTTTCACAAAATAGCACAAAAAACTCATATATAGTCCATCACTCAATTCGTTAGGTCACCGTTCTACTTGATGGACACTCAAATTTGAGTTTAATATTTCAACTCTTAAATTCCTTAACGTATGTTTGCATTATTATAATTTTTTCCCGGGAATTCCCGGGAATATTCCCGATTTTAGAACCCCTATATTTATGCAAAGTTTCAATACATTTAGATAAACCCTCGAAGAAAAAAGTGACAAAATTGATTTTGACTACGCCTTTAGTCCAAAGTTGAAAATGTATCTCATGCTTGGTTCTTTGCTCAAAAAATATTTAAGATGTTTTATTTGTGTTTGTTTTAAGCACTAGAGTATTTATGCAAAGTTTCAATACATTTAGATAAACCCTCGAAGAAAAAAGTGACAAAATTGATTTTGACTAGGATCGCCCCTAGTCCAAAATTGAAAATGTATTTCATGCTTGGTTCTTTGCTCAAAAAATATTTAAGATGTTTTATTTGTATTTGTTTTAAGCACCAAAATGTTTATGCAAAGTTTCAATCCATTTGGATAATTCCTCGAAGAAAAAAGTGACAAAATTGATTTTGACTAGGGTCGCCCCTAGTCCAAAATTGAAAATGTATTTCCTACTTGCTTCTTTGCTCAAAAAAATTTTAAAATGTTTTATTTGTATTTGTTTTAAGCACTAGAGTATTTATGGAAAGTTTCAATCCATTTGTATAAACCCTCGAAGAAAAAAGTGGGAAAATTGATTTTGACTAGGGTCGCCCCTAGTTTATAATTGAAAATGTATTTCATGCTTGGTTCTTTGTTCAAAAAAAATTTTTGAATGTTTTATTTTTATTTGTATAATGCACTAGAGTATTTATGGAAAGCTTTAATCCATTTGGATAAACCCTCGAAGAAAGAAGTGACAAAATTGATTTTGACTATGGTCGCCTTTAGTCCAAAGTTGAAAATGTATTTCCTTCTTGGTTCTTTGCTCAAAAAATATTTAAGATGTTTTATTTGTATTTGTTTTAAGCACTAGAATATTTATGCAAAGTTTTAATCCATTTGTATAAACTCTCGAAGAAAAATGTGACAAAATTGATTTTGACTAGGATCGCCCCTAGTCCAAAATTGAAAATGTATTTCCTTCTTGGTTCTTTCCTCAAAAAATTTTAGAATGTTTTAAGCACTAGAGTATTTATGGAAAGTTTCAATCCATTTGTAAAAACCCTCGAAGAAAAAAGTGGGAAAATTGATTTTGACTAGGGTCGCCCCTAGTCCAAAATTGAAAATGTATTTCCTACTTGCTTCTTTGCTCAAAAAAATTTAGGATGTTTTATTTGTATTTGTTTTAAGCACTAGAATATTTATGCAAAGTTTCAATACATTTAGATAAACCCTCGAAGAAAAAAGTGACAAAATTGATTTTGACTAGGGTCGCCCCTAGTCCAAAATTGAAATTGTATTTCCTTCTTGGTTCTTTGCTCAAAAAAATTTTTTTCATCCAAAGTTTAATTTAAAAAAAAAATCACAGTCAACTTTTGTTTTAAAAAATTCGTAAGAAAGGAAAGTTTTTTGCTTTTTCTGAAGCAACGGCTGTTCCTACCTTGCCAAAAAACAATACAGCTCTTCTATAGAGCAGCACGGATCAAATGTAAAAAACTAGAAGTTTCTACAATATCTCGTTATTGAGATTTCTTGCTGATTAACTTGCTTGTTTGCTTGTTTGCTTGCTTACAGAAAGCATATTTTGCGATTTTCTCAGCAATGCAATGAAATCTGTTTTTTGCAAAATATGTGAAATTCAAGGCACAAACTTTTCATCTCTGAACATTTTAAGCTATCTTGCTCCATATCCTCACAAAATTCAAAAAACTGATTTTTCAATCTGAACAAAACCAATAGATTCACACGTGAAAACGGTGTGTCGTCAGATATCAAAAGTACCCTATATGTCGACAAATTTTGAACTTTTTGGAAAAATTTCTTCACAGGTTGTCTTTAAATATTGTTTGTCATTGAAAAATATCAAAAAACTTATTTTGTTTTGCTTTATTTATAAGAAATTTTCGTTTTTGGCAAAATATTTGTCGATTTACTCAAATCAACTTTTCTCACAACGGTGCAAACATTATTTTAATGTTAATACAGTTATGAAAACTAGAAATCAGTGGCTATTTAATGGTGTGGTTTTTGACTGGTATAGCGGTTGACAGAAAAAAGTTGTGCCTGCACAAAGATATTTTTCCTAGGATTTTTATACACTTTCAACTACACCGGTACCAAAACATCAAATTTGTAAACTTTGAAATACATTAAAAGAAAGCTCTTGTATAACACTTTTAGAGGAGATTTACCAGTTCTAACGTGACATGAAAAAACCAGATTTTTCACCCTTTTTTAACTTCAAACAGCCACAGATTCGCAAAAATAGCACCAAATGACCTGAAATTTGGCATAGAAGTCTATTTTTATGTCCTCTACAAGAAAAAATTTACTTAAGATCGTAATTCGAAACATTGCCTTTTTCGAAGTGAAAGTCCATTTTTTTCAATTTTTCCCCATAGTGCCTTAATAAAACTAATTAAGAAGAACAAGAAATTGGGGTGATTTTAAAAATTTGAACTTCAAAAGCTCTTGCCTGGAAAATAAAAACATAAGAATCAAATTAAAAAAAACCAACAGCATGCTGTATTCTATAATATTATTTTTTCATTCTATTTTTATGATTTTTATTTGATATCATCAATAATATTCTTGTTTTGTACAATTAAAGTTCTCAATGCTTCTCATATGTTAAGCATAAATTTCATGTGTTTTTTCCTTAAAATTTTAAAATTTCCTCATTTCTACCTCTATTATTTGCCGATTATTAACAAGTTTGATTTACCTTCGTGATAAGGATTTTTAACAAAATTAAAAATAATCGAAATAAAATGCGATAAAATTTTCCATTTTTCTTCCAAAACGAATAAAAATGTTTTCAATTTAATCTTCCGGTGCATAAATTCGGAAGCGATTTCTCTTAACTTTTTCATTTTAATGAAAATTTAATGGACGAACAGTAAGTTTTGATAATTTAAAAATTATTACGTTTAAGATATATATTTTCTGTTTTTTTTTTTATGTATAATAATATATAAATGAATCACCATGTAGATTTCACATTATTTCTTCGTGTTTAATAATAATAACTAAAATAGATAATAATAATAATAATAAAGATTAAAAAATGAGACAAAAAATATCAAAAAAGCGCATCTTTTTGATAACTAAAGTCAATTTAATATAAAATCTATGTCTATCTTTACCTCTCATTGATTTTTCAAGTTTAGATTGGAAGATCGTTAAATTATAAAGTAATTAATATAGTAATGAAATAATTGCACTAAAATCTAAATTTGATGAGTTTTTTATTTTTATTTTTGTTGTATGAATGTAAATGGATTTCTATTTCATGCCCCTGATGTGAAAATAAAGATGTAAATATGTTTACTCTATGAATATAATTAATTAATATCTGTTTTAATGTTTTTGAGATTTTTTGGGTGAATTTATTGTAAAAATCAATTTCATCAAAATTCACACAAAACATTCGGTAAAAGTGTACTTAAGGGGGGGGGGGGGGGGGGTCAATATATGAAAAAAAATTTATTATTTTTTTAAGTTTAAAATGCTGTAAATGTAGAAAATAGTAAAAGATAATTTAGATAAAAAATAGATAATTTGAGTGAAATTTGACAACAAATTTTTTTTGAAATTTTTGCAAAGTTTTACTAGTTTTTTTTGCATATTTTATGTTTTGAATGCAGAAATACTTTCAGTATTTTCGGACCTTTTGTCTAAGGGTTCATTATATAGTCTAGATCAGTATTTTTGGGTTTTAAAAATTAGAAATTATATTTAAAGTTTATCAATTACTTTCGGATTCTTCACTATTTGATTCAACTTCCGGCTCCCAAATCTTAAAAAGGTGAAAAATTTCAAAATTTTTTTCTGCCAAATTTCACTCAAAATCACTCAATTTTACTATTTTTAATATAATTTTATCATTTTCTACTCATTTACGTCACTTTTAGTTTAAAAAATAATAAAAAAATTTCATATATTGCCCCCCCCCCCCCCCTAAAGTACACTTCAGCCAAAAATTCTCAGTAATAATAATTAATCATAAATTATATGAATGAATTTGACATTTTGAATGCAATTCACCATAATCCAGTCAGATTTTTCTCCATGTTCCTTGAAAATTAAGATCTGATTGTTAAATATTTTTAATTATTTTGAAGATATTTGTGATCACAGGTTAAAGTGAGAAGAACACTGTTTGATTGATTTTTTACTGCCAATTTATCTTCTCACAAGAAAATCTAGAATCGATTTCTTGAATATTCAGTGAACATGCCATAATTAAGAGTTTAAAAGAATCATAATTAAATTTAATATTTAGCCATTTTTCAGAGGCAGAATTTTGTTATAAATCAAATTTTAAAATTTTATCCCGATTTTGTCTCTTAAAGAGATTTTAATTAAATTTTTAAAAAAGTTAAACTTAAAATTTAAAAATGAAAAATTTCTATGCCTTAATTAAAGTCAATAAAAATCAAAGGAAATAATATAAAAAGTATCTAAAAGTAGTGAGATAAGATTTCATTGATAATGAAAGAGTAGAGTTGGGCGACAGAATCTCAGATAAGGCCTATTCAGGATGTGTGTCCAAAGAAATGTTCAGAGTCGTGTACGGGACACGGTTTATTGCATACTATAATACAACTTTACAAAGATTGTCAAGAATCGTTTACTGCACATTATAAAGCTTAAATTTTCCTCCGATTCTCCAGCCCAGATAACTAACCTTTAATATATATTATTAAACAAAATCATAAGCTACGTTGTACGTACGATAATTAACATAAAATCTTGCTTGAGATTTCTCCATTTTTTCATTATCAATTTTTTTGTCAACTAAACTTCTAAAATGTAATTTAATTAATGCTTTAATTTATTATCTTCGGCTGACAACAAATTATTCTTCATCCACTCGCTCGTGATGGCCCAAAAAATTAGCAACTATTCCTCGTACATGAGAATCATTGATATTCTATTAACTTAGCTTTAAAGGTGCATTTTTGTGGTGATTGCTGGAGTGTTTGGGGTTCATTTTGTGTTATGCTGTTGATTTGAAGTTCATGCTTCCTTTAATTAAGATGGAAACGGCCAATTCATGATTATTGACTGACATGTTGGTAAAATTTCGTTCAGTAATCCAACAAAAACTCATTTTTGGTTCAGTTCAAATTTAAAAAATCTGTTCAAATTTTGAATTGAGGCTCTTATTCAACGACCCAATAATCCTCACAACAAAGCACCTTATTCATCCATTTTCCAGTTATTCAAATACATCATACATTTATCATAAGTTCCTCAAATGAAAATTTTCCTCAAATTTTCTATCTTTTTAATTTTTTTAACTTAACTTTGCTATAACTTTTTGTTTCATATTCCATTCTTCCATGCAAGTCTAAAAAGTCTAATTCAATTACTTTCAATAATCCATTAATATATTTTTTTTTGTTCGCCTTAACCCCCCATCCCCGACCCACAATAATTTTTATTTGAATTGATTTTTCATTACGTCATCAAATTTTTCTTCCTTACAGGGTTGCGACGACAGGTTTCTGTCAAAAAATCGCCTGTCACAGGATGTTACCTGTTCACAGGTCAAATTTTTTCGCCTGTCACAGGTCTGAACTGTCAAAGGTTCTGCCTGTCACAGGCCAGATTTTTTCAAGTGCATAAAATATTAAAAGTAGTATAGACTTACTCATTCGAGACCGCAAAAAGTCGAAATATATAATAAATTACGATCCAGAATTACGATTTTAGAACATTCAGGTCTAGAAATTGAGCTTATATGTCAAATTTTAGCTTATTAAACTTAAAAAGTATGCACATTATGACAAAAAAAGTTAAATTTGTATGAAAATACAACAAGTTAAAATTTGAAAAACGAAAAAAAATATGAAAATGGAAAAATTTGCCATAAAACTTAATATTTTATCAAAAAAGTTTAAAAAAAAATCATAAAAAAGGAAAAAAAAGAAAGTTGCTTGCGATGAGATTTGAACAAGTGACTTGAGGAAGAAAAAAATTTACGAATATTATATTAAATCTTTATACTTCACAAGAGGAATAAAATTTCGAACAGGCAACCGCCTGTGAAAGGCAGAACCTTCGACAGATCAGACCTGTGACAGGCGAAAAAATTTGACCTGTGAACAGGCAACGGCCTGTTTTCGTTGACCTGTGACAGATCGCAACTCTGCTTCCTTAATTTCTCTTACGTCTACGAATGGTGTTAACGGATAATGATAAAGGTGATGATGATTGCAGATTACTTTCATAATCATTTCAACTAGTCTCCTTTTTAATTTGATGAATTTGCAAAATCTGTGGATGTGGCGGCGGACTTTGATGATAAATAATTTGTTGATGGTGATATATTTGTGGTGGTTGTTGATGTATTAATTGTGTTGATGGTGAATAATGTTGCTGATAGATGATTTGTTCTTGTAATTGCGGCACATTTGTATCAGCTATTAATGTATGATGTCCATAATTACTTATTGAATTTTCTGGACTATGTTCAATTGTATTGTGTGATGATGAGTCATTATGTGAATTTCCATTTGGCGGATCACCATATTTTCCTCGCTTGAATCTACCGTACAGCGATGAATACGGTAAATTGTAGTGAATTGCTGCTTGATTTATAGACATCTGACCGACACTAAAAAATTATCGTAAATTAATTATTATTGAAACTTATTCACTTGACTCGTGCGTTTATTGAAAATTATTTCACATACCGAACAGCTTCTAGTGCTTCCATCATTGCGTCCTCGGACCACGGAGTTGGATTTGATCGTGATAACTCGATTCCTTCACGTTTGCAACGTCCATATAATGTACCTAGGTTGTATTGAGGATTGTTCATTAGTATCAGGAAGTACGAGTGTCAAAATTTGTGCATTTATTAATTTCGTCCTCAATGAGTTAACATGGTAAGAACAAATCCATCAAACTTTCAAGATTATAGATAGTTCAGGAAGTTTCAAGTAAACCAAACAAAACTATCGCAATAATGCACAAAATATCAATTATAGCAGTAATATTTACCTGTAGGAATTCCAAATTCAGAGCTCGCTTTTTGAACGGAAGCTGCGCCGGCACGAATAGCTACAACAATACACAAAAGATTAAATACAATCCTAGTTAAAAAATTAAAAGTCAGTGCATACCTTCTAAAGCTTTTTCGAGATCCTCGGCTGACCATGATGTAGGTGCAGCATTAAAAGGTGCAGCTAAACGAATACCTTCACGTCGAGCAATTTTATATAATGTAGAAGACGGAATTCCAAAGGCCTTTGAAGCTTTATTTGCCGAAATTGTTCCCGTACGAAGAGCGTCGAGTGCACTATTAAGTGAATCCTCATTCCACGTCTTCGTAGGACCCTCCTTTTTCGGTGTGTCTGTTTTCGCAAGAACTTTTAGTAATTAGAAATCAATCCTGGAATCATGATGGGGAATTTTTTGACATAAAATAATTCTTAAAACTCACCAATTCCTAGTCTATGTGCACGTTGCCATAATGTTGTCGATGGAATACCATATGTTGCTGATGCCTTCGTTAAACTCATATTATGAGATCTTAGTGCCTCAAGAGCTGATTCCATATCACTCGGTGTCCAGGTCTTAGGCCCTCCATTATTATTTGCACCTCCTTTTGAGTCACTCGTTGGCGTTGTTGCGGATGTTGCTGGAATATTATTGCCTAATGTTATATATTGTAGCTGCCCTCCATTACTGCCATTATGATCCGTTTGCATTTTAGAATCCTCAGAATCTGTTGAGTTGTTTTGATGATTCAGATGAAAATGATGTTGTTGTTGTTGTTGTTGTTGTTGTTGTTGATGATTGTGTAAATTATTGTGATTTTGTATGATGGTATCTGTAAGAGTGATAAAGAACCAAAATAAAAATTTAAAACGATTAGATGGCTTGATCATTACCAATTTGCGATGTTGGTGTTGTGGTCATCATATTTGCAATTTCTGGCGTCACAATAATACCATGAACATTTTCATTATTATTTCCCTGCCCATCTACATCCATATTTCCAACCCCCATCAAATCATGTATCGATGGCTTTATATCGACATCCTCAGTCTTTATTGTTTCAATTATCTGATGATGCTGTATTATTGGACGTGCTTGATGAATTGTTATTGTTTGTGGTGTATGGTGAAGCGTATGAATATGTGGAATTTGTTGTTGTTGCTGATTCTGCTGCTGCTGTTGCTGTTGTTCTTGATTCTGTCTTGATTGTTGTTCCATTTGCTGTTCCATTTGTTGCTGATGCTGGTTCTGTCTTGATTGTTGTTCCATTTGCTGCTGTTGCTGGTTCTGTCTTGATTGTTGCTCCATTTGCTCCATATGTTGCATTTGTTGCTGATGTTGCTGATGTGATTGTTGTAGATGATTTTGGAGCAAATGATGATGATGAATATGAGACTGATGATGATTCATAGTCTGTGATTGTGATGTTGGAGTAGCTGTAATCGCAGCTGTCGTAATAATTGATGTCTTTAAACCACTTAAATCATTCATTGATGATGTAACAGGCGATGGACATGTCGTTATGATTTGAATAGGTGATGCATGATGCGTATAGATTGGACTGTTTGACGTAACGGTTGGATGATGGGCAGAAACCGTTGACGTATGATGATCTAGACGACAAATGGAATGTTGCATGGAATTATCAAACTCAACAATCGTTTCTGACGGATCGAGACTTCGCAATGTTTCAAATTTTATAATTCTCGCATTCTCGTTACCGTTAGTTTGCGATGAGTCTACTTCAATGTTTTGTATTTTTGCATTTTGTCAGTAATGTGTTTTGATCAATTTCATTCACATTATATTCATTTTTTTTTTGCATTTTCGAGTTAATATAGATTTATTATATATGCGACAAATGACCAACAAGCACAGATAATTATGTTATGGACACCACAAGAATTAAGGTTATACAATATGCGAGTGTGTGTTTAAAAATAACATATAAAATGAGGAGAAAAATGAGAAAAACAATAAAATAAAAAATAAAAAATTAGTAATGAATATTAAATAAAAAAAAAATTGTAAAATAATAATAATAATAACAAAAACAACAATTATGAATGAATGAATGAATGAATTAATGGATGCCAATAAAATTATAATTATAAGTATAAATCAAATACTTTATTATTGATTCTCGATGGTATGGATTGAGTGTCGATTTTTGTGAATGCCGTACTTTTAATTAAGGAAACGTCCAACATCACGAGGATTAAAAGGAATTAACAAAGACAATATCAATTAATCAATAAAAACTGAAGAATCTCCATTTTACGATGTGAAAATTGATGAGCAGTACAACCATTTAGAATCGGAAATTTCTTTCGCGTTCGTCAAATTCTCAACATTTAATCTTCTACGTCAAATGACTTGTGAGCCTCAAAATGACTTGTGAATTGTAAATAAATTAGTAGATTATTTAAAATACCGTTAAACTTAGAGAAATATTTTAACTTAAGGTTGTGCTTAATGAAGCCAATGGATTTTAATGAAAGTTAAATTTCTTTTTTCGGAATGGTCAATATACTGGATGCAAATTGAAAGTTTACAGTTGATTAGTGGTTAAGAACTGCTGGCAAATTAGTGTTTGAATGAGTATCACGAGTTGTTAATGCTTTAAGAATTTTAATGAGGAGGAATTTGCAAAACGGTGGATTGCTTGTTTACCTTTTGAGTTTTACGTACGTGATCTGCTTAAACGTACGTAAAAATTTTAAAACTTGAATAGAACTACAATTAAACTCTAAATTCAAGTTACAAAATTTCTCTACTGCCTCTAAAGCTTATAAATGTCCAAATCTAACACTCAAAATCAGCTCCAAAACAGAATAACCATTATTAACGACTAGAGTCTTAAGAGTTCAAAATGAATTGAAAATTATATCATCTCCAACAAATACAGCACGAATTAACAATAATGAGCTTTATATGTTAAAAAAAATGTTCTCACTATTTACAAAAAGTTCTATGATCTCTTTCGTTCTGTGCCTTTGATCTTCTTCTTGTATGTATAACAACAAGTTTTAAGACCCAAAAGATGATGTCAGTCAATAATCACATAAGAATATTGCTTGAATTATATCACAGATGTCTAATAATAGCCAAAAGTAGCATCTCTTTAATCCGAATTCTAGAATAATAGACTTTAATGAAGCAAAATCGTAAAAAAAAAGTTTTTAGATTTCGCAAAGTTAACGACATCTGTCCTTGGGAAAAAACATTTTTGAAAGATTCATTTAGATATTTCAGTCAGTTTGAAGACTTTTTTGATAAGAATGGACATAACAATAAAATGTGTTCGAATAAAGATATTCAGTGTTAGATATTTTGGAGATGAATTCTAAAGGAGATAACTTTGAAGCAATTGAACGTTTGTTGAACTCAATTGAACCAGGATCTTTGAGGTTTTTACAATGATAATTGGAACAATGACTTGATTTAAGCATAGAATCGACTCGTGAGAAGGAGCTTTTTGGATTAATAGGCAATTTAAATTGTTTTGTAGACGATTTTGGTAATTTTCATGGTTTTATATTTAAACTAGCTACTTGTTCTTAAAAAGACACTAAAGACTTGTTAGACCAAGAGCACCCAAGAGAAATATTACGAAGTTTACTAGGGAAAGTCAATAAATAATTCTTTGATTTTCGATCTTGAAAGTCGGTCAAGAAACCGAACAAGTTATCCATATTCTGTCCAGACACTCATTAATAATGACCAAGACTATCTACAATCACTAAGATTGAAAGCAAAAGACTCAAAATATGATCATTAGCCATGTCTAAATCAATATCTCGTGAATAATGTCAGTTCCTCAGAAATCTAGAAAATTCATCCATAATCTCACAAAGACTGTCTACCACATGAATCCTCTTAGAAAACAGCACGAAAAAAATCGATTAACACGATATCATCCTCAATCCATGCACCATCGAAAATATTTTTTTCAATTAATAAGATAAAAAGGAATGCAAAGTCGGCAGAATATTGAGAGGTAAATATGAAATGGAATCAACCATAAAAATAAAAATAATAATGAGTATTAAAATATACGATAAATGAAGTGAATATACCGTTTAATGTTAATTTCTCGTTAATTTTTATGTATGAAAAACATGAAAATGAGACTCGCGTGTGTTGTCAAAATGGCAGATTCACGAAAAACATAAAATTATACACAAAGTGCGAAAAATAATTCATTCTTACTTTTCATATTCATTTTTTTAATTGCGGAATATGTTGCTTTTGTCATAATAATAACAATAATAAAAAATGTGTGTGTGTTTGTGTGTAAATATGTAAAGGAACAAGACGACATCGTCATGTAGATACTCACTTGACAAATCTTTTGTATCATGGCTCGGCGTGCAATTTACTTCTGTTGTAATAACAGGCGTTGCAGTTGGTGCGGGTGGCTCGGGTGCGAAATCCATATATGTTAGTGGAACTCCCATCACCACATTTCCGTTCTGTATGATTTTCATCATATTCAGTATTGTTTGTTGTTGGATTGGATTGGTTGATGAAGAAAAAGAGCACATTGAGTTGCGAGGATAGGATACAGAAAGAAAAAAAGAAACGACGACAACGACGTCGACAAATGAAGCAATTAAACATTTATGGAATTTCAAATTGATGCTTACCATTCCCATTTCAAGACTAGCCATGTTTTTGCTTTGATTTTGATTACTCGGCGATGCTGGCGATGATGATGAATTTTTTCCTATATCCTTTATTGGTGATTTCGATTTACGTTTATCTCTATCTTGTGAAGCTATTGGTTGTGCATCTTTCTCAATGACACTATGACTTGCAGATGATCCTTGTTTTGTGGATTCTTCTCGATGCTTACTACTACTATTATTATGATTATGGTGACTCTCGTAGTGCTGCCTCGATGCACGTATTTTCTTATGTGGCGGATAAATTACTTCCGTATCCGATTCCGCGGCAGTTTGGTCGTTAATTTCACACAATCCTTTAATTTTTAATTGTTCTGCCGTCCGAATGAGGCTCTGTAAAGACATAAAATGTAAAAAAATGTAATTAATAAATTAATATTTCACAAAATAGTTATCATTAAAATGCACAAGATAAGGAAATGAGAATACGGTCGGGTAGAATGAAGGATTCTTTTTCCCTATGCGATTTTATCTACTTCAATAATCAAGTTAAAGAGACTGTCCGAGAATCACAAGAAAGAAAAGAAAATAAAATAGAAAGGATCTCGGAATGATAAATTTTTAAAAAATTAATTTTCCAACGTTAATTAGAGCGACAGCGAGCAGAATAATTTTCTTGCCTTTCAGCTCCCCCTTTCCATTATTTTTCTTTGCTTAATTTCCCATTCTTTTTTTTTCTTGCCGTATGGCGAATGTAAATGTCATAAATAAAAATTTCCTTTCCATTTTTTTTTGCGATTTTGAGGGATTGGTTTCTTTGTGATGTCGCACCAACTTCCCCACACTTTAAGAGGCTTCAACATTTTTATATTTAGTGCTACAAAGCTCAAACTAGATAAGACTTTGTTTTATTTACATATCGAACATCATTAGAGATTGATTCTTAAAGAAATTTTCCTTTTTAATTTTTTAAGCCTGATTTGAGTATGTTTAGGTGATAAAAGGTATTGTCATTTGCGATCGTTAAGGTTTTGTGAACTATAGTAGCAAGCTATGATATGAACTGCATTTTGCAAAATTAACAAGCACGTAAGTCCCAGGAAAGTCTGGGAAAGAAGTACATTTAATTCTTAAAATTGTGAGTTCGATTCTCATTTGAATAAAATCTTATAATAATTTTCTATCTCCTCTTTTGCTTATTTTTTTATCCATCCAATGCGGCTTAGCCACCAACATCAAATGACACTCCAAAAAAATTCCATCTGTATCACCCCTCCTTCTCATTTATCTATCCATCTAAATTAAAGCATGGTGTGGGTGTCTTCCTCAAAAATAGATTTTTTTCTTTTCCTTAACAATTTTTTTTTATCATCATCAACATCGCGAATTGCTGCTGCGTATTGATTAGTGAGCGGCCACCCTTTTTTTATTTTAACGAAGCATCTTCTCATACCCGCTTGCAATATATATATATATATTTTATTATTATTGTTGTTATTAGTATTATTTCTATGTCCCACCATTCACATAAAAGAAAAGCAAAACCAATTCGTGACATTTTTTTTTCTTCATCACCCCATTTATCCATATTATATTATATTATGTCCTTAGACTTTGATAGTCTTTCTTAAAAAGTAAGCTTCCTCTTACTCTTACCATCATGATGTAATACTTTTTAAAGGTCCTTTCTTTTTTTAATTCCTTCCAATAATATTTGAACATTTGTTGGTGGATGAAAAAATATAATAAAATAAGGAATTAACCCCACAATATCTAATACTATTTATCTGAAGGCTCTATCGTTCTCCAACGTCACGATGACTATATTTATGTTGCGCGCCCATTTATTTCTTCTTCCCTTACGACTCAAGAGTTGAACTGTGATATAATGAACATAGAACAAAAAAAAAGACTTGTACACATGTATACACTCGACTCTCGGCACAAAAAAAAAGTGGTGATATCCATGCTCAGAAAAAAAACGTGGCAGTATATAAAGCATTCAAGAAGTGTATAGTTTGTTGAGAGGGTGTTGTGGGATGACGATGTCGGGCTATATATACAAAGCATTTTTTTCTTGCCTTTCTCTCAAATCTCCTCTCATTCCACCCCTTTTATTTTCCACTTTGAATATAACACTTCTTTCCTGTTTTCTACTTCAACATTTTTATTTCATTTTTTTTATTCCTTTCTCATTCTCATACTCTCATGTGACTGACATCGTGGAGGAGAAAAAAAAAATACTCACGACGAGTCAGGAAAGAAGAAGAAAAAAAAAATTGAGAGGAAAAAAATGAGTAAGTGAGAAAAAAAATTCTAAGCGAGAAAAAAATCAAACATGCCCAACCACCCCGGCACTCTTAAGCTCTCATTCCAAAATTTCTTTTTTTTTCGAGGAAAAATTCACCCCCAAAGGCAAGAGAATTTTTTTCAAACTTGCTCTTCTCTCATAGCAGTTATGTTGATGCTCCCTTACTACATTCTTATAATCCACCAAATAATTCAAACGAGGAAAAAAAACTTAGCAGCAAGTCCAGTGGGGTTTTGCGATTACTTTTTTTGCTGTATTTTTCTTTTACAATCGTTGGATGTTAATCAAATAAATCGAATGAATGTGATTTAATTTACTTATTTGCTTGTGTTCGCTCTGGATGTTTTCTTAAGGATTATTTAATTTGATGAAAATAATTTTTTTAAGGTAAGTTATGAATGTTGGAGGTGTGATAGATAGCAGTTGATATTTAACGGATTTGCAAGATTTGAATTGATATTCCAAACAAATTTTTAATTTGAAGTAATTTTTGCCCTTGAATTTGTTCGGTTGATTCTCCCCTTGTTTTTATTTTCAACATTGCAGATCGTGAACACTAATTTTGTAAGTATTTGAGTATTTAACTAGCTTTAACTTAATTATTAGTGAATTTAATTATTAACGAAACTGCTTGTCTAAGCTTAATTCTTTTTGCATAAGAATATTTGAGGTTTTCAACAATTTTCAGTAAAATTGTAAATATAAACACTTAAAGAATAGCTACTAATCCACAATCCATGACTAATTAAAGTCTCTCATCAAAAATAACCATAAAACTTCAAAGCTGATAAGAATTTTTATAAGAAAACGCATAAAACTAACTTCATCAAAATTCCCAAAGCATAATTTTTTTAATTTTAAATTTTCCAAAGCAACAAAAATGCAAATGAGAGAAATATTGCCTCATTTATGGTAATGTGTAAACTTTAAGCATGAAAAATTTGTCAAATTTATCGTAAATGAATCTAAATACCCTCTGGCAAAATTAACCATAATACATTAAGCTTTTTTTTTGTGCTGCTGGTGGTGGTGTCTTCTCCCATAAAATAAAATAAAAAATACGAAAAAGAATATATATTAAGTGGGGATTCTGGCATTTTTTTTTCAATGACGGCGATTATAAAAAATGTATAAGATGAAAAAGTGTCCCTTTCTAGTGGTCGTTTCTCATTCTCCATGCCCCCATCTTATTTGCAGATGTACGGAATTATAATGAGAAATAATTAAGAATCAGAAAAGGATGTTTGAGGAAGGAAAAGTTTGAAGATGAATTTTTTTTTCCTTAACTCCATAAATCCTCCAAGTTCGATAAAGATCAAAGATTCTTTTTTTTTGACGATGGCTTAACTTCTGATAACAAATTCATTTTGTGACATCAAACTTTTACTTCTGTACAATCATGAGTCGTTCATCATACGAGCAGTCTTTTGACTCATTCTTCTTAAAGGCTATATATAGAGTCTCCATTCACACAACAAGCACCCCACAAAGTTCTATATATATACATGAGTATAGTAGATGGAAAAAAAAGTTCCGTATAGATGGATGAGGAAGTGGGATGAAAGGCAAATATTGGGTGGCATAGTAGATTTTTTTTCCACTGCCACATTCTACAACAACAATTACAACAACATATAACACTCAGACACTCTACAACATAAGCAGAAAGGAGAGGGAAAAAAAAAATTATGTAATTTTTTTCCGAGCAATTTTTTCTTCTTCCTTTCTCGCTTTTTTTTCTCTGCTGCCATTTGTATTAGATTGGATAGGAGTTAAATATTTTTTTTTGTTTTTTTTTTCGTGAGCGATTTCTCTTCTCGCAGGGAAGAAACAATGTTTGGATTTTTTTTTCTCGTCTACCCAACCCCCCTCCACCCCACTACAAATACATGCAAACACTTTCTCTTCTCGAATATCTTTCATCCTGATGTTGGCATTTTGTTTCTGCTGCTGCTGCTGTTGTTCTACACCAGAAAAGGACACTCAATGTTCTGTTCATGAAAATCAATGCATGAGAAATTAGAATTTTTTTTCTTCTCGCTCTTTCGGTTGTGCTAAATACACAGCCATAATCTTGATAAGTAATCTTCAACTGATCCCAAACCCTCCCTCAAGTCAAATCACATAAAATAGAAAAAAATTGTAGTTGGATGAAAAATTACGAAGATTTTAATTACAAAATGATGCCTGAATTTTTTTTCCCTGGTTAAAGGCTGGTAATGACTTTTCCTTGACGTCGTCGCATTTTTTTTCTTGCTACCCTCCTCTATATATAAACTAATATTAATGTAGAATCGATAATTGGAGGAGAGAAATTCTTTCATTGTGTTCTTTATGCCAATGAGTTATGACGAATTTTATTTTATGCGACTTTTTATGCTTTCCAAAAAAAAACTTATACTTCTTTGAGATAAATGTCTTTGCTAGTTTTCCACATTCAGCATTTTTCTCTTTTTCGTTGTTGTTGTTGTTGGGGAAGACAAATTTGAATAGTGACAATGCTAACATAATTCTATTGATTTTTCTGACAGGGGTCACCTGGAAAAATAAATTTTCTATTTTGTTATCTTCGCAATGGCATCAAAACTTTTATGGTTTTTGTTGTGAAGGTAAAAATTTTTCATTTGGTCACATTTGGCTGTGCTTCCAATCTGGACGTGTAGAGCAAATTCTTAGAATAAACAAATTAGATATGCCAAGTCTTGGTCATCAAAAACTTCTCATCATCAATCAAGCGGAAAATTTCGAAATATGGCTCACAATAAGGAAGTTCAAGTGAGTTCATAAATGAGGTTATTCATCCTTTCTTATTATAATTTTTCTACCCCATTGCGTTTCAAGTTGTTGTTTTTATATCTTATTTAATAGGACTCGTTAAGTGTGTTAACAAGAAGTTTTCTGAATGACGTTTGCAGTTGAAAAACTATTGAGTTGCTAGCTTTTGTTTGAGTTTAATGGTGGTTGTGGAATGACTATTTATATTCAGGTTTGGGATGATTTTTGCGTGGATCTTGAAAAGATCGAAAGTGATTTTGAAAAAAAAATTCTGAAAGATTCTCTTATAAAATATTTCAGTTCGAAC